GCACAGGTGCACTTGGGTGTAACTTAAACATAGTTTGCAATCTCTCTAAATGGAGCATTTACAGCCAATTACACTTGTCATTCACCTTGCAAATATGTTCACCTAACAGCATACATAGTAAGCAGAAAAATAAAGGATATTATAATAGTTGACAGAAGAATACAGGTACGGATATCAGCATCTATATCTACGACACACATGGCATATTTCTGAGCTAAAATACAACGAATTCAAGAAGTGGCCTCTTATGCTCCTATACTCTCTGCATCAGAAGTCTCCTGTCAAATATAGTTTTTCTAGGAAGAAATGAATCTAGCTGAGACCTTCCAAAACCCATCCAAGTGATTTGGATACTCACTTCTCATTAGTATTAACATCACTTTGGCGTCACTATCTCCTAAACGCCTTCGGAAACCTCTGACTTACTTTTGCGACTGTTAGGTGGATCTCTGGGCAACCTGTACTAGAAACGACAAGTTTAGCATTTGTTTCTCTGTACTCAAGTATTAATAATGTCCACGTCCCAAATGTCAAGATTTTCCCCCAGAAAGAAAACTGGGATGTGATAAGGAGGAGAGACAACTTTTGTTGTTTCAATTAAAGGACAGAGTTCACATTCCCGAACTGTCTCTTCCGCAGGGGGCTGCATACACCAATTTCATGTTTGTGGTCATCTTTTTGTCATAGCCCTAGGCTGGCAAGTTGCTGCGATGGGAACAGGGATGCTGAGGAGTTACGTGGCTGCACTTGCTGTACAGGCTGATTCACATGCAGCATCCTGGACAAGTGCAGTCATGGAGGGAAAGCAGGGACAGACTATGTACACATACCTGGTAACACGACCTGCAGAAGGGAAAGCTGTTCTTCTGAGATGCAATGCTTTTGTTACATTTAATCCCACTTCTGGTTCTGGGAAATGCCTTTTCAATATATACATAAATAAATAATAATCATAAAAAAAGAAGCATAGACTGATTTACAAGCTTATAACAGATTATATGATCCCCTACCCCACCAAAGTCAGGGCCAGAAAGAGGCTTGAAAGTTACTTTATTCTGGCTACATCCAGCTCAAAGTGAAATGTACTTTGCAGACACTAAAATACTTGATTAATAGGTGGGAAATTTCATTTATGTGAAGCTGACCACAAAATAAATCAAAAGTTGTTCAGGCAGAAACTTTTCATATGTTTAGAATCCAGAAATTCCTACAAGCCACCTCTCAAACCAAAAGCATTGCAAATCCTTTCAGACTGAATTGCCACATACTGCTGTATAGTATCTTCTCCTTTCAAGGTCCTAGAAAAGTAAGTCTTGCCAAGAAATATATATGCAAATAAGTAATACTGAGATTCCTTATATGGCTTCTTGATGTTATTTAACTGACATCACTTCTCTTTTTTTTCCCAAATGCATTTCATGTATATATGCCTTCTTTTCTATAATCTTCTCCATTTCTCTTATCTATTTTAATAAACTATATGTCCAAGTTCAGTATCTTCTTTAGCAGCTATACAAGCAGATATATTTGTTCACTGCAGTTATTAAAATTCTAAACATCTTCCTCCCTTTATTTGATTTTAGCGAGATTCTGGACATTTTTTCAATACCCAGAAGATTGGATTCATTGGAATGTAGCTTTAAAAGAATTCTTGCATCAGGACTTTAATTTCAGTCCAAAAACCCATCAATTTAAGTTATCCCCAGAAGATCTGAAGGTGAGCTTCTTTTCTATGAAATATTTTGAACACCAGTTTAAGATGAAGAACCTAAAATTGTTTTTTTTTTAACACTAGGAAAAAGATATAAAACCTGAGACCACCATTCATGTATTTTTAACTCAAACAGAACTCCTCACCATTTTGCTTAAGAATGAACAGGCTTAGGCCTTTGAATCTAACTTGTTAGCGTTATCTTCTCTGTATTAATGGGCGATAAAACCTATTAATAACCCAGTTGTACCTTTGTAGCAGGCTCTCTAGTAGTCTGTCACTGCTGACTCACATACAAAGACAGCAGCATGTTCATAAGAGGCACATCTCACTATTAACTCTTCTAGTAGTAACAACTGCAGTATTAATTATCAAAGAGATCAGCAAGTGATTCCTCACTGATCCTTTGAGAAACTGCAGCAATTATGTTTCTCTGTGTTTTCTGTCATCCCAATGTTCTGCAGTTTTGTGGAAAGGCGTACACTGAATATATTGCTCCATTCACAACTACTTGTAGGGATATCTTGGCAAAAGTGGGAGTTGGAAGACTTTATTCAAATAGGACCATAAAACCTCAAACATTTGTAATTCCTTCCCCTGCAAACATTTCTTACACTCAGAACAACAAATGGTCATACCAACCCCAGGGGAAGAAACTGCACACATAGAAGGCTTAAGAACAGTGACTATATCCAAAGGCCTTCTGTTCCCTGCCTGTCAGAACTTTCCCATCACTTACCTGTCCACGCTGCTTTCTAAACCTTCTCCAGAGGACGAATCACCTCACCCCAACTCAAGCCTCTACAGGTTTCTCCACTGATTCCACACAGTGCATTGTTTATACCGTATTGCTAGCTTTTAGACAGCAAAAAACAGTGAAGTGAATCATGGTAAGACTGATCAGCAGCTGCCTTATTTGATCCACGTGATACACCATTACAGATATGATGCCTTGAGCGCAGCACAGGGCCCCACGCATCCTGCGAGCTCTCTGAATTGTGTGCCCGCCCCATCTCCTACTGGATCTGATGACTGGTTTCTTCCTTGCCCTACAAGAGGCTGATGCTGTGCAAACTGGCATCAGTTCCTGTTGGTTCTGCAGTTCACTTCCCAAAGGCACTTTTTTTTCCCTAATTAACTTGGTGTATTAGAAATTTAACTGCATTAAACTTGCACACGTACCTTCAGTCCGAGTCTGAGCCAAACACACATTGAGATGAGCTCCTTAGTGAATTCCCTGAATCCTCTTGCAGTTCTCTTCCCGGGGCTCGAAGCTTCACTTCAACTTGGTTGTTGAGCTTCTTTTTTTTTTTGTTATGGAGATCCCACCGGTTCTGAGCCCTGAGGGACAGGAACATTTGTTTCTGTTCCAAGAGCACTGATTTAACACACTGTCCACAAGCAAGGCACAGCAACATTCCCTAAAGACGGACCTTAAACGAGGACAAGAGAGACTGCTTTGCAGCTAGGTCCTGCTGATGGGAAATGCTTAACTCATGAATTTCATCCTCGCTTTGTGCCATGAATTGTCCTAAAATAACACAGCTGCTACACCTGGCATCTGTGAGGGAAAAGTGAGGGAGACAGTCTGCAGTCAGTCTTGCAACTGCCTGGAGGGCAGCAAAAGGGCTGCCACACATGCCCAGCGAAGCAAATCCTGCACCCCGTGCGTCATACTGAGCCTCAGAGGTGCTGCGTGGCAGCACAGCAAGCCAGGCCACAGTTGCGTGCTGTTCTCTTCCTGCAGGAAGGCAGGCACCCCGTTCCTGGCACGTAGTGTCCACGCTGGTCTCCTCAGCAGGCTTTAGGCGCACCACAACAGCATTTCCAACACAGCAAAAAGAGTAACAGGGACAGCCACCACAGTCCTCACGGAGTTGGTGGCACAGCTGCAGGTTTGCACCTGTGCAGTGTCACAGGGCTGGCTTCTGAGCACCAGGGTGATCCTGCAGCACCCCAGAACTACAGACACTGTGCAACGCACTGGGAATGCTGCTTTGGGGATGCCTGGTGACAGGGCTGTTACCTCAGGCTCCTTGCAGAGCTGCTCAGGGAAGGCTCAGCAATACAGCAGTGCCTCAGGCCCCATGCAAAGCCAGGGAGTGCTCTTGGGAGAGTGGATTTCAGATCACTGGTGATAGGGCAGCCTCTGCACAGGGTAGTGCTCTCAAATGGCTGTTTTCTGGAGGCCAGTGCATGGAAGCACCTCAGACCCCGCACCAAGATGAAAGGGCACACAGGCTGTGCTGCTTCTGGGCAAGAGGGCACGTGCCAGGACTTCATCACCTGCACCAGGATGCTCTGGAGCCCTCCAAGGGCCATTCCTGCGAGGCAGGGCACGTGGCAGGACCTCATCCCTGGCACGAGGACAGCGCAGTGCCCACGAAGGGCTGACTCTGCAGCCAGGGCCAGCGCAACCCCTGGGGGCCAGCAGGGACGCGGCGCCATCTCGGTGGGCCGAGCAGCGCCTCAAGCTGCGCGCACAACATGGCGGCCCGGGCGGGCGCGGCGCCTCGGAGCGCCGCTCGCGGGCCCGGGGACACAGCGGTACCTCCGAGCCTGCGCGAACACGTCGCCGAGGACTAATTCCAGACGGCCTGCGACAAAGCGATGCCTCGAAGGCCGCGCGGACGCGCCCTGCGTCTCAGCGGCCGCCACCAAACCGGATCGGACCGGATCAAACCGAATCGCACCGGCCCAGGGCCGCCAGCGCCTCGCGCCACCGCCCCCTGCCGAGCGCGTGCTGGGGGGCGGGGCCTGCGCCACCGTCCGTCGTGTAGCCCCGCCCCGGGGGCGTGGTTAGCAGAAGGGGGCGGGGCTTACCGCGCCTTCCACGCGCGCCCTGCGAGGCGCCCCTTCCGTGCTGGCGGAAGAGGCGGGGCACGCAGTAAGGCGCATGCGTCGCGCCCTACGGGAGCCCGGAGGGCCGAGTTTAAAGGGGGCGCGGTGGCGGCGGCGTTCGCCTATAGCGGAGGGRGGGGSGGGGGTGGCGGGCCGGAGGGAGGCGACATGGCGGCGCCCTGAGGAGCTGGGTGAGGCCTCGCGGCGGCGCCGGGGCCGTGGGCGGGCGGGGAGGCCGTGCCGGGGTCTGGCGGGCCGGCTGTGCGCGCAGGGGCGGCCGCGGGGCCGCTGGGCCCGGGGAGGAGCCCGCGGGGGGCAGGAGCGGGCTCGGCGCGGCCGGGGCGGGGGCCTCGGGGCCTGCGCGAGGCCTCGGCCCGGCCGCGCGGCCCCGGGCCGTTGGCGGCTGCTCAGTGCCGCCCTTGCCCGCAGCGCGGCCGGCGGCAGCTGGATGCCCGCGGGCGCCGGGGCCCTCGCGCGCGCAGCCCGGGCGCTCTGCAGGAGCTCCGCTCTCTGCCTCCAGCGCCCACCCACCTCCTTGCCGGGACCCCCGTCCTGCTGCGTGGGCCTCCCTGCATCCGGCGCTCGCCGCTGGGCCCGGCCGCCGGTGAGGAGCGCGTCGCTGTGGGGCAGGGCCGCCGGCGGTGCGCGTTCGCCCCCGCCGCGGGCCGCCCGGCCGCGCCGCCAGGCCTGCTCGGCCGCGGAGGACATGGCGGAGCAGAGGTACTGCGTGGACTACGCCAAGCGCGGCACGGCCGGCTGCAAGAAGTGCAAGGAGAAGATCGTGAAGGGCATGGTGCGCATTGGGAAGATCGTTCCCAACCCGTTCACGGAGTCTGGCGGCGACATGAAGGAGTGGTACCACGTGAAGTGCATGTTTGAGAAGCTGGAGAAGGCGCGGGCTACCACCAAGAAAATCGAGGACATCACGGATTTGGAAGGGTGGGAAGAGCTGCAAGATGATGAGAAGGAACTGATCAACCGCCACATCTCAGGTGAGGCACGAGGAGGGAACTGGGCCCCCAGGTACCGCGTGGACAGTCATGCATTTCCTATGGAACTCTTACTGATGGCTTGATTAAAAGGGTGGCAGGTGATTATATCTCTATCTCTGCTCTCTAGTAAAGAGAGAGTCTTTACTAGACTTAATTCAGTTTGGTCTCATGAGAGAGAGACTTAATTCATTTCTTGCACAGGTCTGCAGGGGAGGTCGGGATGATCTAAGTTATCAACTTGTAAAGTTTGGCTACATCCCACCAAGAAGCATCAGCTCCTTTTTTTCTTTTTATGAACTTTAGCAAATTACCAATCCTTTTGTATATCGTTTTGTATTTTGTATATCCAAAGGTATTTTAAAATACGTTTGGTATTTAAAATTTATTTAAAATACCTTTGGTATTTTAAAAATGTTCCTTTCTTTTCCCTCAGTCCCCAGTGTCTATTGCAAAACATCTTACATGTTGCAGACGTAAGTTGTCTCTGACTGCCGTTCTGAACTCTTACCTTGCTGTTCTACAGAAGCCTCTTCCAAGGCTGCAAGCACACCCAAGAAGAAAGCAACAATCCAAGCTAAGATCTCTGCCACTGGACAAATAACCAGTCCCAAAAAGGATCTGCTAAATATGGTCAATCCATCACCAAAGAAGTTCTCTGGCTTCACAGGTAGGGGTTATTAAGTAGAGTCTAGGAAATTCTTCACTAATTTTCCAGTAATAGTGTCGGAGGTGTTTTAGTTTTATTCAGAGTTGTAGGGTTTTTTTTTTTTTTTATCTAAAGGTGGTTTCATTTTTTAAAAACAGATGTATAAGTTTTCATGGAAAGGTTTTCTTTTTCACAGCATGAATTCTGCATCATGAATTCTGGTGTAGCACGCAGCATAATTCAGTTCTGAAGTTTTGCCAGCATACTGGGTTTGTTCTTTCCAGCTTGCCAAATGGAAGTGTCCTTGTTTACAAAGCCACCATCATTTCATCCTTGTTTAAAAGCTTCTTGCTATGTCTTTCATGCAGCTAAGCCAAAGAATTCAGAAGATACCTCTGCAGATTCTTCCCACAAGTTTAGCCTGTCTGCGAAAAAGTGTGATCCGAAACACAAAGACTGCTTGCTGCGAGAGTTCAGGAAGCTCTGTGCCATGGTGGCAGACAAGCCCAGCTATAACGTGAAAACACAGATCATCCAGGACTTCCTAAGGAAGGGAACTGGAGGAGGTACGGCTCGAGACATTTTTATGCATGCAAAAGCACTCTCAAAATCAACACCAAAGCTTTATTTCAAAAGCAAGGGTGAAATAAAATCTGATTGCAATGTAGTCCGAGTTGTGTGCTATAATGATTTCTGAACTGGTGGACACAGTGTTTACGAACTGAACTGCTGTCTAATTAACCAATTGAGATAAAACCGTCTCAGGCCAGGACTGTGGAGAATGTTGGTGCTGACAAACTTAGTGCTGAGATCAGATTTGGAGGGCAATTGTGGATGTTCCCTCAGAGAAATATTATTTCATATAAAATAGAACATCATGGTGGAACATGGAAGCCTCTGCTGTGTTTGTTTGTTTGTTTATGTTTTCCCCAAGAGTCCTGCTAATGAGCACCAACATCTAGAGCCCATAGATGAAAATAAATTGTGACAGTTTCTAATGGTGTATGCTTTCTTTCCAGATGGTTTTCATGGTGATGTATACCTGACCATTAAACTGCTGTTACCAGGTGTCATTAAAATTGTTTACAACTTGAACGATAAGCAGATTGTGAAGCTGTTTAGTAGGATTTTTAACTGCAGCCAAGAGGAAATGGTCCGGGACTTGGAACAGGTGAGTGCAGGCAGCAGTGCTCTCATTTTTTGATGTTTGATCTTTTCATTCCGTCTCCACGCCCTATTTGAAAGATTACTAGGTTGGTTTTTAGAATGGGAGCTGGTAAATTTTACTTTTCTTTTTGTCAGCTCTCTCAAAGTGTTTTTTTTTTTTTTTTCCCATCTGGAACCTTTAGAAAATGATGTCTGAATAGAAAGCAGCATGTGAATCACCTGCAAAACTTTAAAAAGCAAGATTAAATATGTCAAAACACATTGATCAGCCACACGAAGGTTTTGATTTTTAGGAAAGTTGGGTGGCACCTGCTTTGTCTCTACTGCTCTGCTAATGTTATCCATATTTAATTGATTTATCTTACCTTTTTGTAGCAACACTTATTAAAAATTTAAATTCAATTAACAAATCTGTTCTTGTGAGCTTAAGTTGACTCACACAGTTAAGCTAGACTCATATGACTGCAAGTGCGCACACACCTGTATTTAATTCCTTGTTGGTAATTGACTCTCTCCATTTCTAATTCATTGAAAGATAGAGAAAATGGGTTAATTAGCTAATGAAACTAATTGCATCACTTTTTTTTGATTGCTTTGGTGTATACTGCCTTCTGTGTGACATCAGTAGACTGTTTGTGATTCTTGGAGTTTATAAGAACTGGATTCATCCTACAGCAGTGAGAGTCAGTGAAATGATACTGATACTCTTACACAGCTTTTTGCAAGTGAAACAGCTGAAAAGAAGTGCCCTGTGTCATGGCAGCTTTCTCCTGATGTTTAGTAGTGATTTGTTGCTGGAACCTCAGATCAGACACCTCTACCCTTTCCTACCTTCTGGAAACTCGATGCTGAGTCTCGGTTGCTCTGATCCACACCCTCATTTTGTCTTTTGGAGACAGGGAGATGTTTCCGAGACCATACGCCTGTTCTTCGAACAAAGCAAGTCCTGTCCTCCAGCTGCCAAAAGCCTCCTGACCATCCAAGAAGTAGATGAGTTCCTAATCCAGCTATCAAAGCTCACAAAGGAGGATGACCAGCAAAGTGTGCTGCAAGATATCACCCGCAGGTAAATGATTGCTATCTGGAGATGCACCCTCAAACTCTAGGAGTGACAAGCTGGACTAGGTAAGAAGCAGTAACATTAGCCAAGAGACTGAACTTGACGTGTATAGACAGCGAACAGTGGCTTGATGAAGACTCTTTGACTGCTGAACAGTATGGAGAATACATATGGCCACTGCACAGTGTAGAGAATATGTGTGGCTCCTCATGTCAGAGAGAATTTCATTCTTGTCTAGTAAGACACTGTTTTATTAGTACTAAATAAAACTGCTGTGGTGGTACCTGGCTGTTGGATGTCTTGGTCTGTCTCGGATTGTGCTGATCTGAGGCTGAGGATGTAATTATAGTTTCCTCTTGGTGCATTAATAACCAAATTTTGCAAGGTACCTCAGTACAGAGGCAAAATTATTACTGGCATTTCAAATGTAAAGAAGCTAAAATCCTTTTGGATATTCTCTTGTACCTACCTATGAAAGGGAAGGACCTGTTATTGTAGAGATCTGGCACAGTTTCCTTTTTCAACTGGGAAATATTCACATAAGTATCTGTCTCTAATTGCTCTCTCACACCTCAGGTGTACAGGGAATGACCTGAAATGCATCATCAGGCTAATCAAGCATGACTTGAAAATGAATGCGGGAGCAAAGCATGTGTAAGTCCCACCTGCTATTGTGAGACAGAACCAGAAATGGGCATTAGCCTCTAAATCCATGTGCAGCAGAGCTGAGATTGATAGATATTTTTCCCTTCTCTCCTCATTTTGTTTAAAGGTTGGATGCCCTGGATCCAAATGCCTATGAAGCATTCAAAGCCTCACGTAATCTCCAGGATGTGGTAGAGCGAGTCCTGAAGAACCATCAGGAGGCTGAGAAGATGCCAGGCCTGAGGCGAACCCTCAGCGTGCAGGCCTCTCTGATGACTCCTGTGCAGCCCATGCTGGTAACATTGGACATCTCTGGATAGTAACAGTAGTAACACTGGATAGTAACAGTAACAATGTTGAAGGAGATGGAATTCTCATATCCACTGCTTTACAAATCAGTAGACACATAGTGATACACGAGCTAATAGATTGTGCAGTAAGATCTTCTATGTATAATGCCATTTTATAAAGTGCTTTCTAACAAAAGATTGGGCATATCATGAACTTGCTGTTTTAATGACACTGCACAAGCTAAAATGTCATCTTGCTTTCGGTCCAGAATTGACTTTCTTATTTTTTTTCCGCTCTTACGGTTAAGACATTTGTTGAATTAGAGATTCAAACAGGCCATCGTCTTTGAACAAATCTGAGTTAATATTTACTTCTCATCTAAGTGCACTGCTAGAAAAGGCATGGTATTTACACAGTCCTCTTTCTTTGCAAGAGATAAACAGTGAAAAGCTATAATTATTTGGGCAGGCTCAGATGATTCTAAGTAAATGGCTGAACTAAAAAGGAAAACCTGTACTGGATATCAGAGATTTCGCACAGAAAGATCCAAAAAGGAATTGGCAGTTCATTTCAAGTTAAATAGTAGCTCTGTTTTTAAATGTATCAAACAAATCTTTTATGGAACTTTTCTCTCTACTTTTCTAAGGCTGAAGCCTGCAAGTCAATCGAGTATGCGATGAAGAAGTGTCCAAATGGGATGTATGCGGAGATCAAATACGATGGGGAGCGGGTGCAGGTGCATAAAAATGGAGATCATTTCAGCTACTTCAGCCGAAGCCTCAAGCCTGTCCTCCCTCACAAAGTAAGCCCATTTAAATTCTCTTCTGCTGTGCCAGCTGTTGCCTTCCTTCTCTGTAAGCATGATTGAATTTCACATCAGTTTCTATAGGCAGCAGGATACCTTCTGTTTTATACTCAAATTAATCTGGAAAAGCAACATTTAATGGACCTTAATCAATTCGTTTTGGCAGCCTTAAAGGACTTGTAACTACAGTTAACCTATCTGCTTTTCCTTTTTATGCACTGCATTTGAGTTGGCTCATCTTTCTGTTGCTAGTCAATGCTAACAGATTGCCATACAAGAAAATAAAGCCAGTGCAGATATGCAGAAAGCATCAGCACTGGAATGAGTCTGTCCCTTCAGCCAGGAGTCATTTTGTATTTGTTGCTATTCTTTTTTTTTTTCTTCTTTCTTTCTTTTTTTTTTTTTTCTCCAAGGTAGCCCATTTTAAGGATTTCATCCCCCAGGCTTTCCCTGGTGGGCAAAGTATGATCTTGGATTCAGAGGTTCTTCTGATTGACAACAAAACTGGCAAGCCGCTTCCTTTTGGGACTCTTGGTGTGCACAAGGTAAAAGAGGGTCCTTTGTAGTGGTTGGAGTTAAACATTGTTTAAGCACCCCAGCATGTGTTATCACAGGATAAAATCAGTTGTGTAGTCCCTGAGAAGGTTGATTAAAATGGTTCTTAAACCAACAGCTTTGTTTGCTAGAACAGTTTTGATATTGACCTGTTCGTTGGCAGGTTACTAGGAAATAAAAAAAAAAACAGATGAAAATAAATATTGAAGATGATGTAGCTCTTTTGTCATTGTTTATAGTTACTTCTATCAGTATCTGGCAGACAAGCAGCTGAGAAACAGATATGAATGTAGTCCATATGAGTATTATGTAATGCTTATGTCTAGATTAAATGGTGGTGAGAAGACAATAAATTGGAAGTTAAATTGCAAGTGCTTTAACTTAAAGGAGCCATTAATCTGAAGTCCCTGGAATGCTTGCTGGCTTCTTGTTGCAGCAGCAGTGATAGATTTTAGGTTGCCTAAAGTCATTAATATTTGTGGTGTTATTACCCTGCCGCTAGGAAATTAACATGTTTTATTTTCTTAGTTTGTGCTTTGACAAACATGGTCTACATTTTAATTCTCAGAATATGCAAGCCTTTAGGAGCTTATTAGCACTAAGAGATTATGGGGAGAAAAATATATCCTTCTGTTTGTTTTTTTTTCCCTGTACCTCAATTTTCCTGCTTGCTCCCACTGCAGATATTTTTAATTGATATTATTTTGCAGAAAGCTGCCTTCCAAGATGCCAATGTTTGCCTGTTTGTGTTTGATTGCATCTATTTCAATGATGTCAGCCTGATGGACAGGTATGTGTCTTGCATAGTGTGAGAACAATCTGACAGATTTCCCAGCAGGAACTGCTGGAATACTCTGCCACTGCAAAGGAAACAGCTCACGTTGACAGTTATTACTTGCCATTTTACCCCTTTAAAATAAAGGCAGCATAGCAGAATGCGTGTAGTGATAAAGCTGTAAATGAGAGCATCGCTATCTGGAGCCCCACCTTGTGCTGCAGTTTCAAAATAGCAGGAGCAACTGGATTCAGCTGAATTCAGCATGGTTCAGTGTATACCTCGTCCTGTGTCCTCTGAAACAAAATACATGCTTGATGTGAAATTTCTGGCTTATAACTTCCTAGAAAAGTGATAAAAATTGATAGTCCTTTCTGGAACTCTCTCTGTAGGAAAAATGTGATTGAGTTGTTTCAGTAGCTTTTTTCTTGGTGTTCACCCAGCCAGTACTTCCCGGTGGAATTGCCTGTGTGTCCATAATTACCTGTACTCTGCTCTAGGCCCCTGCGGGAGCGCCGCAAGTTTCTCCACGATAACATGGTTGAAATCCCCAACCGGATCCTCTTCTCGGAGATGAAGCATGTCACAGTGAGTTCGCTGTTAAATTCAGTAGCACACGTGGCAATAGCCAGGGTTATATGGAGAAGACTGAAGTAAGACTTCAGTCTGGAAGTCTGTGCTAAACTGAGTACACAAACCGGTAGCCCTGATCACTAAAAACTGCTTTTATATAAGCAGCATGCTCAATTTTTGCTTTGATTTGTAATGTGTAAACCCTATCCCCAGTCTTTTTCCCCGTTACTACTATTTTCAGGAGTGCCTTGATTTTATTGGAGAACATTTGGATATTTGGGGCAAATAAATTGTCTAGGGATAAAGAAAAGCATAGGGCCCAAGGCATTTGGATGGAGAAACAAGGAAGTACAAAACCCAGCATGGCTATCTCAGAGATGAGATTTGTTTTGCTTGTGATTGTGTTTTGTTTGTGTGTTGGTTTTTTGTTTGTTTTTAGTAACCAGCCATTCCATTTCTGTGCCTTATTGCTCCAAATGGAAAATCCCAAGAGCACAGCCCCTTTCATAGGCCTAAGCTTACCGGAATCCTTTTCTTTTCCAGAAAGCTTCAGATCTGGCAGATATGATTACCCGAGTTATCCGTGAGGGACTGGAAGGACTGGTGTTGAAAGACATAAAGGCAGGTTCCCATTCACTCTTACCTGTGTGTGCTGGGCATCAGGGAGCAACAATAGACTGCTCTGTATTTAATACTTAACTATTCAATCAATTCTGAGTTTGAATTCAGCCTTTATCTGCTTTAACAGCTTTTCAACAATGCTTGGAAGTAGGGAGGAGGAGGAGTGCTGTCACTTTTTGTCCAAATTTTGGTATTATTTCCTTCCTCTTTTCTGTTCTGTTGTCTGGACTCCTGCTCGTCTGAATCTTTGGGTGTCCCTGCAATGTTTTGCACAAACAAGGATATTTGTAAGTGCCTGCAGTGATGTGGTCCAGCAGGTAGATCACCAAGGTGGGAACCAGGGCTGCATTTAGCCTCAGCTCTGGCTTTCACAAAGTGCCTCGAGGCTTGGGGATGAAATAGAGAAGGTTGAGCATCCTTGAAATAACTCTGTACTCTTGTAGAGTTGCTCCTCATAGATCTGAGCACTGATCTATGTGCTCATGGACTGCAAAGCTGGATAAAACCAAGGACCTTTTGGGGAGATGGCTGCCCACCAACTGATCTCCTTGTGACTGGAGTTTCTTGATTGGTTTTGCACAGGGTAATTATGAGCCAGGAAAACGGCACTGGTTAAAGGTGAAAAAAGACTACCTGAATGAAGGTGCAATGGCTGACGCAGCAGATCTGGTGGTGCTGGGAGCTTTTTATGGACAAGGCAGTAAAGGTGAGTGTTTGGATTTAGCTTAAGTTAGAGACCTGTCAGTTCTTCAGAAAAATCTCAAGTTTTTTTCTGTTCCAGAACTCCTGTAGCATTTGGTGTCCTACCAGAATGAGACTGGCTCTAACAGTGACTGTCTGCTACATGCTAGGCTACAGCAAGCTGCCCGAGTTTACTGTAGGTCAGTTGGCACAGCGAAGCATTAGCTCTTGGGTTGGTCTCTCAGCCAGTGTAGATCCTGGTTGTTCAGCTTTGCGTTATGGGAGATGATGCTGTGAAGCCATCAAAAGCCTGAGGTCCTTTGACTTTCAAAGATAGAAAAGGGTTTTAGCTGATTACTGTGATTTTGAGAACCTGTGGCGCTTGTCTTATAGAAGATGCCAAGCACTCTGCTTCCCTCTCTTCCAGGTGGTATGATGTCCATCTTCCTCATGGGTTGCTATGATCCCAAGAGTGAGAAGTGGTGCACTGTGACCAAGTGTGCTGGTGGCCACGATGATGCCACTTTGGCTCGCCTGCAAACGGAGCTGGATATGGTGAAGATCAGCAAGGTGAGATGGGCTGTGGCATGAGGCAGCTCAAAGGAGTGCTTGGCAAAGGGCTTGATAAACACAAAACTGCTGTGAAGGTTCTTCAGAAGGTCTTGCATTAGACATGGCCCCTCTGACAGAACTGAGCTGTACGTGCAACCAGCTTCTGAAGCTGAGGCACTGCCTCAGATTTGTTTCCCCACACACAGTGGGAAGGCAGGTTCCTGCCTAGACAAAGTTGCGCTGGAAAAGAGCAAATACTGGCAGTTTGCCACATTGCAACTGAAGGCCAGTCACTAGATGGGGCTATGGGGGAGAAATCCTAGAGTCAATCTCTTGCCTTGTAGCTAGATGACCTGAAACCTTGGAATTTTCTATCAATTACTTATTTAGACAAGAAATGCTATTTAATTTCTGCAGATCAGTGCACCTGCACTGTAAATTAAATCAAGTTCCATCAGTCCAAAGGGGATTTTATACCTATGTGTTGATGTACTACTGGGATAATATTTCAACAATGTCTTTCCTAGGAGTAGGTTCATATATCATTGGAGTGTTATAACTTGTGGTTTTGCTCTTAATTATTAGGATCCTGGTAAAATTCCAAGCTGGCTAAAAATTAATAAAATCTACTATCCTGACTTCATTGTTCCAGATCCAAAGGTAAGCATTTTCCCAAAATGACTAAAATTTCCAACACTGATTATAGCAGTCTACTACTCTTTTTGTAAAGATACAAATAATCTGTGCTATGAGTTTAGGCTTCATGTTTGGAATAGGAAATTGGGCACAGACTTCTACCTCTGCACATGCATTTTGAGGCTAAGAACTTTATTAAAAAAAAAAAAAAAAAAACATACCTGCAACACTCCTGGGAAACATTCTTGTGCAGTGTTTCTCTTCCAGAAGTTAATTGTTTTAAATTTGCAGCATGAATAACCTGACGTAAATAGCTGAAGTAGAACTGCAGCAAACAAAAGGTTATTGTTGTCTTGCTGAGCATTGCAGTATATTTTGTGATGCGTATATCTGATGGTAAAAATGTTATTTAGAAAATGACAATATGGAGTAAGTAGCTGGGGATCTCTGACTTGCTGAAACAAGAGGAGTGTTTCTAAGGCAGGCGATCAGAAGAACAATTTGTGTAGCTGGAACTCTGGTGTGCTGGGGTGTTTATCATAGAAGGGACACAGATGCACTAGGTTTGTTCATGAGAGAACGTAGGAATATGACATATGATTTCTTTCAATGCCATGTTTAGAAAGCCCCAGTGTGGGAGATCACAGGGGCTGAATTCTCCAAAGCAGAAGCCCACACTGCAGATGGGATCTCTATTCGCTTCCCTCGCTGCACCCGCATTCGAGATGACAAGGACTGGAAGACAGCCACCAATCTCCCACAGCTGAAGGTGATTTAATGTGTATATTTATGTCTGCAGCATGCTTGAGAGTAACTTCTGACAGCACCCAATGTTTAAAAAGTCATGTTCTGATAGCAGGTATGTAGTGAAGACACCTGCTGACTAGTATCTAGAATGGCACGTGGCATCTTCCCCTTACTCCAGGTCCAGCCTGCTTGCTCAGCCGTTTTGATATAATCTTATATTTTTTTTTTAATGGAGTATCTTCAGTCTTTTGAGCTGTTGTGCATTTTCAGAAAAATCTCTGCTGGTAGCTAGTTGTATCAGCTCTTGTAACAGCCTTCATAGCGAGGAATTTCCTTCCTGAAAGAGGTGACCTTTTATTCTCTAAATGTTTATGGTCGTTGTGTCTCCCATTAATTGCTGGGATTGGGAGAGGCATCTGGGAAGTGACTAAGGGCAGTCTGGCCCAGTGCCATGGCACAGGGGCCAGGTGGCATTGTGCCAGGTCCCTGGGGCTGCACCTACCCCACACAGCTTCTCTGCCTCCTCGACTGCTAGAAACCGTTTGGCTTCTTGCCATCCCCAGAAATAAGTCAGCTGTTGATGAGCTCTGTTCTCAGCTTCGTTACTGTTATTTGGGCTGCCTGCTCACTGCCTCAGGAGATCCTGAGAGATGTAAGAGCTTGTTACGCCTTCGAAGCAAGGAGTGATTCAGCCCACCTACTGTCAGGCAGTTGTTCTGGCTCCCTGTGCAGGTAGGGGAGAGAAAGGTAAATGCCCTCTGCAGACACGCTGTTCTAGGAGGGAGCAATGGGTCCATTTTTGTGTATAGGGAGCTAAGCTGTGAAGAGTTAGTCCAACTTGCTCTGTAGTAGATGGTGTAAATACAGCTCCCCATATAGGTTTCCTTAATATGAAATGGCTGGCTGGACTGCTTAGAGTTTAGAAAAGGTGACGGGGAAAAAAAATACTATAAAAGATGCAGAAATCAAAACATTTGAGCAAACGCTTCATAAAGAAACCAAAAGCAATGCTTGCATTTACAGCTCATATGTAGCATCGGAGGTTTTGCTGCGGCTAAAAGGTAATGCTTTGTTTCTGGGGGTAGGAGCTGTACCAGCTCTCCAAAGAGAAGGCTGATATCAATGTTGTTGCTGGGGAGGAAGAGGAGTCCACAGCTGGCAGCAGCGGAGAGAATGAGGGAAATTCCAGGTCTTCCACACCACACAAGACTATAAAAACTCCTCCAAGCAAGTCACCTGCAAAGGCCAAGAAGCCGGAAGGTAAGATGGTGCTTCCCAGGGAGGGGAACTCGGGATGGATTTTGTGGGTTTGGGGCTGCCCAGCGTTGTGTCTTTGCCTTTTCAAGATCCCACGGAGCTCATAGGCTTACGTCAAAGTGCATAGGGAAACCTGCCTAGATCCTTGGCTTGGACTGTTACTCACAACACAGATTGAATGGAGGTTATGTTGCCTAGGACCAGTAACTGTGACACTGCTAAGCATAGTTAGTACCAGAATCACTTTGTAGTAACTTCTTTAAGATTCTACTTGTTCTTTCTCATCTTAATAGCTTGGGGTCGTTAACAGAATTTCTAAGACTGATCTGAACAGCAAACCTGCTGCTGCCGTTCCTGCAGATCATATGCCCTTCAGTTAGACCCTTTTGGCCATGAGCCAGTATTCATTTTTATCTGGATGAAGATACTAAAGCTGCTGGAGGGGATTTCCAGGTAGTAATGAGATGAGTTTGCCTCGCCAGCACTTTGTCAGTGCAGAATAACTTACGGCAGATCTCTAAGCAGGTTTAGGTGTAGCAAGAGCTTGGAGAGGAGCCTCCTGGAGGTCAGTGCAGGAAAAGGCCCAGGGCCCTTTGCCATGTTCTGCCTGCCAGAAAATGTTCTGCTTGCTGGTTAACTTTCAATTCAGTGATTACTCAAAAAAAACCCTTCTTCTCTCCCAACTTGAATATGTGTCCAATATCTCAAAGACCTTTAATGAGAAAACTTTCTTTTTATAGGCCTCAAAGCAGTCTTTGCATCCCCTCAGAAAGTGGAAGAGAAACGAGGGGAGAAGCGGAAAGCATCAGAGGAGGAGGAGGACAACGGAGAGAAGGTACAGAGGGGCAGCAGACGCTTCGGGGTGGGAGGAAGCTGAGTCTGTTCTCTTTTGTCTTTGATGTGGAAAGTTTTGTAAAATCTGCCCATAGCTGCACTCTAAAGTGCAATACCCAAGTAGAAATAGCAGCAATGAGCCCTCTTACAGAACAAGCAGATGTCTGCAACCCTTCTGCCCTAGATGCAGATTTGACCTGGCTGTGTTTGCCGTGCTAAAGGGCCGTGCTTCTCTGTTGAGCCATCAACAGTGTCCCCAGTCTGTGGCTGCCACATGGCTGCTGTGGCTCAGCGCTGCAAACAGAAGAGACAGGAGCCACGACAGGGCAGAACTGTCCTTTCTAGTCCACTGTGCAGCAAAGGATAGGATGAAGAATCAAGCTGTAACTTTCTGATAAGCCTGAGGCAGCTATTTCGATGTAAACAGCCATTCCCCTCCCAGGGCTGTTTGTTTTCCTGCTTTTACAAGCATCAGCTCGGGAGGCTCTAAGAGAGGGTGTTTACTCACCCGCCTCAGCAGCAGCACTGCTAGGGCAGTAATAACTCCGCTTAGCTAAGGGGGCAGCTGGAGCAGGGGACTGGGAGAGGAACTTGATGCGAGTTGCTCTTGCATATGGTTTAAGGGAAATCCAAACAGCAATTTACAGGTATTATACAAGGCATTAAGATGAGATCCCTGGGAAGCGTGAGTGGGTCTTTTGGCGCCTCAGAGAACTTGGTGCCTGTTTCAAGCAGTCTTTGGCTGACCTTGGTCTCCTTCTCCCGCCCCCGTGCAGGTGCTGCTGGACATATTCACGGGGGTGAAGCTCTACCTGCCCGCCTGGGTGCAGGACTTCGACAGACTCCGGCGGTACTTCATTGCCTACGACGGGGACCTTGTGCAAGAGTTCGATGCCGCCTCCGCAACACACGTTATAGGGGACGTTGAGGAGAATCCTGGTGCTAAGCGTGTGTCTCCCAACTGGATCTGGGAATGCATTCGGAAACGGAAACTGGTAGCCCCATGCTAAGAGCATGGGGGAGCTCACTGGTCTTGAGACAGCTTTACTTCAGGAACTCCCTGAAGGGAACAGCAGGGAACTAGGTAGGTGGGGAAGAAAGGGTGAGATTCCTCTGTGGGGATCCAGATAGAAATAAAAGGCCCAAGTACCTCAGAGGTAGTTGTAAAGATCCCTAGCAGCCATATGCAATTCCTATCACTGCTGACTCCATGTTTCTGCCCACACGTAGACCAATGCACTTATTCAGGTGCTGGTTTCATCTCCTGGGTTTTTAAAGTTTGGCTATTTTTATAAATAAAGAAGTAAAACCGAAGCAGCTTCTCCTTTGCTGTCAAGACTTACTTTTCAAAGATTATTCTCTCAGGTATTTGAAATATTAACTCCAGAGCTAAGATAATCTTCCTTTTCTGCTCTAATCCTTACAAAGGCCATCAAGTTGTGCCCTTTATCAGTGTTTCTTTTTTCTCCCTTCAACCCTCCCTACCGATCCATATCCAGTAACAGTTTACATCTTGTGCATAGGTTTTATACTAAAACCAGGAAATCAAATAAGCTTCCATTACAGTAACGGCCAGAGTATTATCCAAGTATCCTCCTGGAGTGTTTGTTTTCTGGAATAAGTTACACTTTTACTCCTTGAAACATGAATAGTATAAACTGAGGAAAGAACTCTATGATCTGAATCTCTTAGGACACTTAGGGGAGCTGCTGCTCTGAAGCTAATTAAATCTATTTCAAGTACTTGAATACTAATAAAATAAGGAAAATAAAATAACTTAAAGCTGTATATCTAAAAATTATTTTCATATGAAGATGTGCTGTTGCTAAATAACACATGAATGAGCCCCGTAGGTTCAGAGTCTGTGTGGGCATTACAAAGGCAAAGTGAGTTAACCACCTTACTGGGTCCTTAGTTTGAAGAGGAGCGAGTGCATGGGAACTTCACAAAGACTCTGCTGTTAAACATTAGGATTCTCAAGTTTTTTTTTCCTTCAACCTCTTCTGTACTTACATTCTCCCCCATAATGATATTTAAGTACCTTGTAGCCTGAGCCTTTTCTGGTTAAAGTTCAAGAGTCCCTGTAACATATCGGCCTTCTCTTAGCCTGTTGGCAATAGAGTCAGAAAACAAGGTTAACTAAATCACATTGCAGCTTTATTACAAAATTATTAACCAAAATTCTGTACCAAAACTAGTAAGTACCAAGAAGATTTGATAGAGAATAACATGCCATTTCAAGTAAAATATTAACTTTTAAAATACTTAAATGACGTACAGTGTACATAAAGCACAAATATTTCCATTTACTTTATTAGTTCAGATCAGTATATACCTTTGGATTATAAATCAGTTTTCTCCACATTCTTACTTTTACTTCAAAATAACTTAATTTGCTCCATAGATGAGAATCCCTTTTTGCCAGGAAAGCAGTGTGGTCAGCAAAGCGATGGCCCCGGGCAAAGCGCAGTCCCCACTCAGGGTGGCCACGTGCGTCTCATTCTTGCACTCAGACACTGATCTGCACCTCGTTCAGTTGTTTATACCCACCCTTTACATACAAAAGCAGACCTGTCCACAGGGGAACAATCTTCCCCCCTGCAATCTCCATGCCAGGCCTGGTATTACTGAAAGGGCTGAACTCACAGGGAGTTTACCCAGGAGGCTGTTCCAAGCTTTGCAAGTTTTTGTCTGGACCTCTCCTGTGAGGTTCTTTAAAGGCGTAATTTTGCATGTAGGCAGTTACTATTTTAACATGATCGTGCTGGAAGATGTAAAGCTTTAAGCTGTAACTCAGAGACAAACCTGAATTGGAGGAAAGAGGTAAAACTCTGAAGTTTTAGTTCAGTAAACCTCATCAGCCGTCCCTTCTTCATGGAGTGCAGAGACACCACAGTAGTGCTGCGGTTCTCAATGACAGATGTGTTCCCCTCAAATGCCTTTTTTATTTCTCACTTGTAGAGATCCATCTACTTCATATCAGTTGCAGCTGTGCATTAAAGACTACAAAAGCTTAATTTGCTGTTAACTTACATTATATTTATTGCAAAAATAGATGGCTTTAGCGCTCACTTCTGTAATTACACTTCCATTACTGCAAAAGCTAGAAGTGGACACTTGTATTTAGGCTGTTCCTCCCCCAACACCACATACAGAGATTCAAGTTGAACAGCAAGTCATCACCACCCCCTAAAGGGGAAAGCCAGGCAAGAAAAAACTGCAGCACGAGTTACTCAGCTTCCCCCAGGACTTGAGATAAGTTTACAGGCCTGTGGTGGCTGCAAACTTAAGGCATCGAGATTCCAAAACCGAGCAGTGCGTTGCCAGCCAGAGTGCCCAGGCCACCAAGGGAAAAAGATGTCAGTTATCATTTGGCTCCTGCAAATGAGCACGCTGCTCGGGAAGCAGCCCGACGAGTTCATGATTGTCACATACCAGAGCAGAGAGTCTCTTAGCCACCATCACAGGCACAAAACAAATGGTGTTTGATAAGCAGGCTTAATATAACAGGACTGTAAAATTGAGCGAAGAGGATAAGAGGGAAGCTCATTAGCAAACAGAAGCCGCTGCAGTGATGATCATTATCTTCCCTAGATCAATAAGCTGAGCAAGGAGTGAAAGTTTGGCCTCTGCTTCCCTTCAAGTCTTTAGCCTTGACTCTCCAATCTGAAAAATTACCTGCACTTAAATATGATTGTAGCAACAGAATTCTTAACTCTACAGCCCACTAAACCCTCTAAAAGACTAGAGTCCTAGATTCCCAGCTCTTAATTACCTGAAGTCAGATCAGTTTTTAAATAAGCACTGGTACGTACTAGGAAGTTAGAGGAACCAGCAGCAGTAAATTAAGAATCTCACTCTTGCTGGCCTGTAAACAAAGAAGAAGCCTCCACACAAGGCAAGGCTGTTATGTCCCAGACACCTCTTACTCGCTTTACATTTTGTAACAGTACAAAGCCTGTCTTCAAATAAAATGACACATTTCTTCAAAATCCCACTAGGCTAGAATTAAACTCATTCTGAATATGGATAACAGAGGCAGTCTGCCTGTCCTGCAAGTAGAAGTAGCTAAAATTAAATTGCCAAAAGAAAAAGCAAGCCCAAAACAAGCCCAGCAAAATTTTACTCTTTGACGGTGAAGTTATCGGGGGGTGTGAAGCCTAACGTAGCATGAGGGAAGCAAAATCAGAATTCAGTAGCAGCAAAAAAACAGACGACATCACTTTTTGAGACCCCAGTCCAGCTTGTTTATTAACCAGAGGAAATGGGAAGCCTCACAATCTGATGGCTGTGCTGGAAAGCCAAGCACTTCTCTAGCCCCAACACTAGTGGATCAAGTTATTCTAGAATGCATGTTGTTAATTATTTTGGCCTCTGCTACTGCCAATAAGCTCCTGGGAGTTCAGGCACTGTGGTGTAAAGCACGAGAGCGGGAAGGGCGGAGCCAAGCATGGCTGGAATAAGAGCAACTCTCCAAGCTTCCTCCTTTCCTCACCTTGCCTATAAACTCCAGCTCCCTGCGAGGTCCATGTGCTAATCTCTGACCTATCTGCAGTGACTGTGACCATTTCTCTAACAGCAGATGAGGCTTTAAGGCATGACCGTTCTCACTCATAGACACTTAGGACTTAAAGACGTGGACAGCTCGTATCACATACTGCCTGCAGATGGGACACTCGCTCATCCGCTTCCCGCACTTGGTGCAAGTGACCATGTGGCCACACTCTAGCAGGACACAGTCAATGGGGGAGTCCATGCAGATTTTGCAGAGGTTTTCCTCTGCGCCAGGGAGCCCAGCACCACCTGAGTAAACAAAAGACACCGTTTGCATGAGACAGGCTTAAGAGAAAGGATTTTGCTTAGTTTTTTTGTTAGAGTCAGTATTAGATCATGGTACAGTCTGTGATTTGGGAACATTCTCCTGAGCCTACATGCAGGTATATCTACTCCATCAACTGGCAATGAGCCAAAGGCTCAAGTTTTTACACCAATATATTGTGTGTCACGGGAACAGAAGTAGCACTGCGATCATAAACTGTGAGACAAACAAGGCAATATTAAGAATATCACTTACCAGTTCGATCGTCAGTGTCAGAAACTGCAACAAAGAAAGTCGCATTACTTGGTGAGAATAAGAGAAAACAAATCACTCAAGCTTCATCAGGAAGCAGGAGATGAAAGCCTTGAAGGGACAGGACTGAACTAAAGCAGACGTTGAAACAGATTCTCCGATTAAGATAATTCATTCAGCTATAAGGGGCTTTCTCTTTGACTGAGCATATATATTTAATACTTCACAAAGACAAGCAATTACCCAAAGTGATTTCTCTATTTGATATGACAGTTTTGAATTTTACTCAGTGCAAGAGTAGTTTTGGGAAGCCATGCAGTATCTGCTCCGGTTTTACACCATTACACCAGAGATGCACAGAAGGGGCAACAGTTCAAGAAAAAAATGGTGTCAAAAGCACAAAATACAATGAAAGAAGATTATAACACTAGAAAGATTGTCTTCAGTCTTTGAATATTTGCAGACAACAGACCTTGGAGAGAAGTGTGTAAGAAGACAGCACTCCTTTAGACGGAGATAAGAAAACTGTCTTTGCAATCAGCAAATGTTAAATGCCCGGGTGTTTTCGTGCATTCTTTGCCTGCTACCATGAGCCAAGCACCGAGCTCCCTGGAGTGCCTGCAACCAACGTGGCTGCAGCCTCACACCAGCTGCTGGGGGCTGGTGCAGCACCCAGGAGATCTGCCACAGCCACATACAGCCCCAAAGGGAGACCATGCACTTGTTCTCATTTATTGCTACCACAGAGAAGTCGCTCTGCAGAGTTAACACTGCTCTCATGTTCAACAAGCACAAATAGTGATGAGAACAGCTCAGGAACTTGCACTTTAGCAGTGCTCAGATGTGTATGAGAACTGGAAACCCCCTAAGTCTCCTTCCCACGTGCAGGACACACATGTGGAGCAGTTCTAGCCCCTTCTGCCCTTGTCAGGTTTCAAGGGAAAGCCTGGAAACCAGAGAGGTGCTTGCGAAATTTCTTACCTAGATGTTGAAGGTCTTTCTCCTTATAAAGGCGAGTCACGCGCTCCAGCAGCTCCCACTTCTCACAGCAGCCTTTGTAGTTGACAAAGTTGCGAGCAAGAATTTCCTTCAGCTGCCGCACAGTGAGCGCATCAATATCCCCAATGCTGGTCAGGTCAGAAAGGGAAGCCCTCCGCCCCTGCACCAGGTTTTCTTCCGAGTCGACAGACTGAAAGGAAACAAACATAGAAGAATTTTTGCCCCTCAAGTTCGTACCACTACAGCTGGAATCAACTTTCAACATGCACGCTAACAGCACTTGGTGTCTGGATATACGTGTAGCTTGAATTATTGTGCAAAACCCTCTGCCTGAGACAAGTCGTGCAATGGAAATAAGAAAAAGACCATGTAATAATAGGAATGGTTTGTGTGGAGGACAAGATGATGCTAAAGAGGGGGCACTTGGGCCTGCAGGTGGGTATAGTCCGAGTTACCTTCTAGCCACCCATCCCTCTGCAGCAGCGATTCTGCAGCGGCAAATTGAGCCTGGTGTCCCTTGCCATTTGTCTAGCTCTAGGACACACAAACCTGTGTCTCCTCCTCTGCTGATGCTTCTGCTGAATTCTCAACTCCTGCCATATCGACTTGGCTCAGAAGTACAAACCCATTTGCCTAAAAGAGGAAATAAAGCTTTCACCAACAGTGCATGTGTGTGTGACCACACAGAAGTTAGCTTGGTGAGTCCAGCGTAACTGCAGACACTGCCTGTTGAAACGATGGGCTGCAGCACAAGGCAAAGCGGAGCGCGCTGCTGGGAGAGGTTTCCTGCATGGTGCTAACAAAAGCAGATCAATTTTAAACACGATAAATGCTATTTAAAACTCAAGCATTCTCTCTGACTCTTTAAGGTCCTGCTTTAAGCCCTTTAAGTCCTTGCACAATAAGCTCCTCCCATGAGGCTTACTAGGCCTGGATCAGAAGAAAACCAAATCTGTATCGACTCCAGATGGATTTGATGTAGAAAGGGAAGGGGTAGATACTCTAAGCACTTAACAGAGCAAAAGGAACTGCAGAGCAATCCTGGCCCCTGGGTGGTTTCCATGCTGATAACAGGGGGCTGTGTTACCATACTGGCTAAAGCAGCAGTGACTCGTTAATACTTGCAGAGCAAAATAGCAATAACGATGAAAGAGCCTGAACTGTAGCAGGATGTCACGGGAGTCGAGAAAAGGAGCTGAAAAGGCCTCATGGGGAAGTAAAGGAGGATGGCAGAGCTGAATGTGGAGATAAAAAAATGGGGTGGCAACATCCAGAAATCTGTCAAACAATAAAGAGGCCAGTCTAATTATATGTGAAAAATGCTCCCATATCCTCCCTTCAAGCCCCCCACGTAATGCTTTTGCATTAGTAGAGCTGCGAGGGCAGGGACTGATAAACGTTCAGTGCCCTGGTCCACAGTCCTATTAACTTGGTAACGGGACTGGGAGCAGATGTTAAACATGTGTAAACTTCCCAGGCCAAATAGGAGAAAGACAAACAAAGCAAAGGCAATAAAAATAATAAAACTCAAATGCCCCGACAGACTTCTTCAGAAGAGCACAGAGTTAAGCATATACTGAAGACTAATAGGAAATTTGGTGTTTGACAGCAGTGGATCTAGGTGCAAAAAGACACCAAAAACCATGCTCATCCCCCAGGCTTCTTTCCTAGCAGTCTCAAACGCCAGATCACCTTAAAGCCAGGTTGCTCTGCTGCACATGAACTAAAGAGAAAACTGCCTCATCTAATACTTACACCAACTGTCACAAAGTTGTAACAGAACAAACACCACAGATATGGACCTAGGAAAAAAATCACATTCCAGGGGACCTCAGAATAGTGCAGTTTTTCTCCGAGTGTCCAGTATATTCAGCCCGGCCCACCAAAATAATTTTACTAGTGCAGAAAGCGAGAATGGCACTAGAGTCAGTGTGGCAACAACACAGCATAAAATAACTCATTTACCTCCCTAATTGTCCTTTAAAGAAAGTGGAAGATCCTCACTTCAAAGTTCAAATGCACTGGAAAGACCACATGTAAAATGAAGCTGAGAATTTTTGTCAGCTATTCTACACAGAAGCTCTCCATGATTTTGAAGCACAAAACTTAAATGTAAAACCTTCCTGGCCTATTGGCACATTTCTACTTGGAAAATCTCCCACAATATTTTAGCAGTTAATCCAAAACCAGGGATGAATGAATATGCAAAAGAGGCTTCTAGCTAGAGACTGCACCTGTGGATGTTCCTGAGCTAGTGAACTTGAGATGGGGTCTGCAGACAGCGGAGACACATCATGTGAGGTAGAAGATGCTCTGCTGCTCGGTGGGAGAATCACAAAGTCTTGCTGTCCAGAGGCACTGCTATTTATAGAAGGTGTTTGTATCTGATCTTCTTGGGCAATTACAGGCTGCTGGCCAAGAATCAGAAACACCAGGTCCTCCTTTTCCCGACACAGCTCTGTGGAAATGTCACGGAGCGCCAAATAGTCTCGCAGATCCTTCACCTTCATCTTTATCAACTCTTCCCGCTGAAAAGCTGTGGCTCGGAAACGCTGGCACAGGTGGCACAGAAGGGGACCGCTGTCGGGCTGGCTCGAGCAGGACGTGCAAAAATCCTTCTTACAGTCCAAGCAAACGTGCTGGGAAAGAGAAGGGAACAGAATCACACGGATGTGCCAAGCCTGGAGACACAGGTGCACAAGGACTGCACTGTTCCGTTAACATCTGGAAGCCAAAACAGGTCGTAACCCCTGTTAAAGCTTAATCAAACCCTTCTAATTTATGGAAAAAATGTCCAGCATGTTATGCATGCTCCTAGATGAGGAGACGGCTTCGTCCCATGAACTGAGCTCCTGATTCCTCACAGTTGTTAGCAAAGCACTGCTAACACTCTAGATGCCTGGAATGAAAAAATACATTCTTAAACAATTCCCTCAAATGCCATGAGCTTCCTGAAACTTATTTTGGACCCATTCATCCAGTTTAAGTCCAAACTGAAATCAAGAGATATCTCTGAGGCAGCAGTCTCTGCAAGTAAATCAGAGTTAGCTGGGCATTGCTTTACAAAGCAATGAAAACATGTTCTGTGCATTAAGAAAGCTCTGGCATTGGAGGGAACTAATTAAAATCATCTCTCTATTCCATAAAGTTTACTACTTGCTAAAAGCAACACCCCATACCTTATTCCTTTTCTTTGAGTTTACCAAGCTTGATTTCTCAGAATAAGAGGGAAAGAAAACAAGGCCTACAATGTCAGACGGACTTCAAAGAATTCCTCGTTGTATTTATGCAGCAAAAATAGCCAGCTTATTTTAAAAATAATACGCACATTGTGTTCCAGTTAGGTGCTAGACAGAAAGTGTTGGAAGTTTTGGAAATATAAGGCCCCAGATAATCTGAAAAGCTTTTTAAACAAGTTCAGTTGTTTAAGAGCTCTATTTTTATGCTGTTCTGATACCAACACTCAGGGCTTGATTTTCAGAAGTTCCAAGCACTCACAGTTCGTGTTGACTTCTGCAGAAACTGGACTGTTTAACACTTAGGAAAGTCAAATTCTGCATTTTCCAATAGGAATAGCAGCTGAACAGCCACATTACGGACCATTAAAAGAGTCCTGAGGGAGAAAAGAACTGGATTATTTCATTGCCGGTGAAAATTGCTCATTAACAGTCTTAGGGAAGACAATTTCTCTACAACAAAACAAAATAAAAAAAAACCAACCAGGGAGATGCACAGGCAGCCACCTACAGACTTTCACTTCCCTTCTAATCCAGGCAGCACGCGGTATTTTTACCCTGTAACAGTCCCCTCTGGAATGACTCAGCACGCACACATTTAAATTTCTTTTTTTTTGAGACTCCCATTCTGAAAGAACTTGTGCATATACGTTTGCTTGCCCCAGCAGGAAGTGGAGCAAAACCAAAAACCCATTTCAGAAAGACCAGTTAGTAATGTTGCAGCACTAGAGTTCTGGACTGGACTTTTTACCATTAATACTCCTTATTTCCCCATCTGCTTGGACTAGAGAAATAACTCCCTCCCTTCTATTTGTGAGGTACCATAAACTGGCCCTTAACATCCTGACCCTTTAGAGCTATGCAAAGAGAATTATAGATGAAGACTTGGAGAAGCAACAAATATAAGCAGACTGAAAAAAAAAAAAAGTTGTTTCATGAATTGCTTCATGATTTTCCAAAGGAAGCTGATGTTTCTCGGGCTCTGAAAGCTGTGAGGATGCTCTGTGTTTACAGGAGAGCCTTCCAACCCCTCGACACCTGTCAGCCCCTTTGCCCCATGCCCCTCTTGCAGTTAAAACTCACAGACTTCTGCTGTAGACCTGCGTTAGCCTCATACCAGGAGACCTTGGAAAGGGTCTGACACCAAAGCTTTTTAGGAGGAGAAAATTTTTCTGGTTGTGCAAACTCAAAGCTTCTTCTCAAAATTCCTTTTTATTTGTGGGCTCGCCAAGTAAGAGCAACATTTATCAACCACAAACCATAACAGGAAGGGCAATCTCAACAGTCTGTCCAATTTTGGAAAAAAAACTTCCTCAACTTGGTCATTATAAGAAGCATGAATAGTTGTCTAAGTTACTTTTGATCCAGACTCCTGAGAAATGCAGTTAACTGCAAATCCTTCAGGCAGATCCATGTGCACGTGGAGCAAGGGAGCAAGTGCCTCTCCAGCCATTCAGGAGGATGGGACCCCCTTCCCTCTCAATGAGCATTCCCCTAACAGCCAAGCTATCAGGGGGAGGAGAAAAATACGTAGTTTTACTCTGGAGGAAAAAGGAGAAAAATCCCCATGCTCTGGAGACTGCCAGGTTGGCCCTAACGGGGATGGCCAAGAGAGCCCCAGTGCTCAAGTGTCCTGACAGTCCAACTCGAGGGAGCCCCAACATGGGCTGCGTTCCTCAACATACTTCTTGCAAGCAATTAATAGCACTCTACCTTATTATCGAATGATACACTTGAGGAGACAAAATAAAAATAAGCGGGATAAGCTCTTGCTATCCGTCCAGCTCTAGGAGATTTGCTGCTCTGCAGATAACCCTGCCTGCAGCTGAGTTCCCTGTGTTTACACATGCCCAGCTGCAGCTCAGAATTGAGCAGCCTTCAAATCGTTTCCTCTGTTTGTTGAACGCTGAGCGAGGGCCGCGACTGCAGACAACGTTCTCTGCAGAACATTCGTTTTAATCATTACTGTAAGTTGATGCCTGTCCCCGTGAGCTCAGGCCTCCTTTAAATGGCACTTGCTCTTTCCAATTGCAGCACAGTCACAAGGCTGTCAAACACAAGCGCTTCAACTCTTGGGTTCAGAAGTCAGTCCCAAACTTAAGCCCAGCTGTGTCTCTGACAGCTCCCAGAGATGCCAGGATTGGGCTCGGAAACACTTGGCTCTTCTTTGTATTAAGGATCAAATTAAGGAATGCCTTCCCTACAGCCACTGCTGGTGGCAATTACTTTGGTTTCTTTTTGTTTTGTTTGCTGTTGCTTTTTAATCTTACACTCTAGCTTGCCAGGAGCTTTTGCTGTCAGTATGCAAAGAATAGCATTTTCCTAAAAATGACAGCCAATTCGAGGAACCAAATCAGAAAATGGGGAAGAAATAACAATACTGCAGTATCCAGTACCAAAATCACCTGGTACAGCTTTCTAAATGCAGGGACGGAAATGAAGAGTGCTCAGTTCAAATTAAAAGATGTTGTAGAACCCCTTTGCTACAGGAAACCAAGATCATAAAAGAGGAAAAAACAAAAACATTCAGATTATTTTTGCTACCACAACTAATATTATATGCTTTAAAAATGCTCCTGCAGTTATTTGATAGCACTTTGTAAGTCCACACTCCATTCAAACGTCCCCTATCCCAGTGCTTTCAGCAAGTGCCATGCAGCATGGAAATTAAAATACAGCTATAATAAAGGGTCAAGTAAACTCAGAAACCACCATTCTGCTCTATTTTCATCTTTTTTTAAAGCAATCCAAGTTATTCATAGGGTCTCCTGTGTGGAAGGAATTCATTTTTACCTATTCAGTAATTAAGTAGATTCCTGTATAAATATTAACTGGACCCTACAGTTCGAAGGAACCGCCTCTCCTGGGATAAAATACAGAGTTTTTCTCTCATTACAGCAAAGTGAGATTTCATATGTCTGTGAGTCTACATCGACAGCATTAAATTCAAGAACTAAAATGCTGACCAGTTGAAAGCCCTTTATACAAGTGAGTTGCATGTACCACCCCGATCCCCATCTCCTCCCTGGAGAACAAGGACCTTGGGCTGGGCTGTAGCCCTCCGGTCCCACAGCTGATGGCTCAGGAGTCGTGGGGGGACAAAGCAGCCCGAGCCTGTGCTTTAGAACCCCCCTCACAGTGCAGTATATAGATCTCAACCTCAGTCATTGACAGGCTGCGCTGAATGGGAGCAGCCGAGACACAGACACACATTGTATTCTGCTGCCCCACTTACAGGGAGCGTCGACTCCAGCGGGAAAGCAGGGAAGCTGCCGGGGCCAGGAATTCTCCAAGAGCCAGGGCAGCTCCCCTGCTACGTGCTTACCAGAGAGGCACTGCTCTGCAGGCAGCTGCTGGTAGAACCTGTATTTTAGGGGATACCATGGCCTGCGGAACCCCAACCGTAGCACTGATGCTGCATCGCTGGCCTTTACTGCCTCAATGTCCTTCATTTCAAAAGTTAACACTCGTTGCAGAATGAATCTTTTTCACTGTGCCTTTTTTTTTTTTTTTTTTTTTTTGAGATGTTTTCCCATTTACTGCAAGGTTTGTAGCTTTTTTTTTTTAAACAGAATCATGAAAAGATACCCTAGTAAAGCTTTTTAGAAGATTCATTTCTCCAAATCAAATGCTTCTATCCTCATTCATTAGCTTCTCTTTAGTTGCACGCTGTAAGGATCAGGCACTTATTAAGCAGCAGAGTTTGGACTCTAACCAGCTCTGTTCACTAAAACTCTTATCTCGAAGCATTATGGGAACCCTCATGTTTAAATAATTGCCCAGGCAGGGTCTGCAGTCTAATTAAAAACCTCATGGCAACAATCATTTTGGCGATTATATGCTCAAAAATGAAGTTTACAAACAAAATAAAAGGGATTTAGTCTTTTTTTTTTTTTTGCTCTGTTTTCCTCCCTTTGGCACAGAGCTTCAGCAACTAACCCCCCGGCCCCATAACCTTACATGATAACCTTCCATGTTTTTTTAGCCTGAGCAGCAATAATTTGGATATAAAAATACAGGCACATCTTTCACTGGAGGCACAGGCTTGTTGCCACTACTTAAAAAAATAAAAAAAATAAAAAAAAGGACATTAGCCTTTTTAAAATAACAAATTAAAAACTCATGTTCAAGTTAATGCTCCTTGAAGTGATTACAAGCAGCTTGGCATTCTTCACTGAGGGCCTGGGAAAGCCAAGCCTACCGAGGGCCAACCTCCACATTTCCCGTTATCTTCTGCGTGCTAATTGCAAAGGAATGACTAACTGCCCAGGCCCACAGAGTGGCTGCCTCTTTGCACGGGAGGAGAGAGGCCGGCGGGGCGCCGCGGGGCCCGGGCGCTGCACCCACCTTGGCGCCGCTGAAGCGCGTCCCGCACGCCGTGCAGCTCTGCTCGGGGGCCGTGGGCGACGGGTAGGAGCTGTAGCCGGGGTTGGCGTAGGCCTGGGCGCGGGCTCCCGTCGGCGCCGGCGCCTGCATCTCCTCGGGAGAGCCATCCAGGCAGAACCAGTTGCAGCAGCTTGCCCACATAGTAGCTGCGGGGGAAAGAGGAACGGATGCGTTACGGGCAGCACACTGCCAGCTATCAGGAGAACAAGGCATAAAAGGCATATTTAAGTTTCCCACCATCCGTTCGCTTTTGACAGGGTGTGATAAGAGTGGATTTTCCCCAGCTCCCAAGTACACCCAAAAACCACAGCCCAGGACAGCACAAGGAGCCGCTGGTGGGGAAGGAGACGCAGAGCTGCGGGATGGCTGTTACTGCAGTCCTTAGGGTTAAGAGATCTCAGCAAGGGTAAGATTACATTTGCATTCCAGTCAGCTGTTGGAACCTCTCTGACCAAGTTGGCTGTAATAGGCTGTCGCTACTCCGTATAAATCATAATACAGACTTTTATGTGGATCAGTAAAGATAACGAGCTCAAATTATGTCTCATACATCTTACTGGAATGAAATCAACAGCAAGATCACAGGTGGGTATTCTGCAATTTCATTCCAAATCCCTTTATAAAGATAAAGCTACAGATCTCTAAACACAAGACAAGGACAGCGGTACCACTCCTGATTTAACATGCCAGGTCTCGAGTGAATTTGCAGCAGTAGAAGGCTAAAACATTACAGAGCAAGTAAGTTTTACTAACTTCAGAAAAATCAAGTATTAACTTCCACTAATGGATAAGCAACTGCATATGATTTTTTAAAAAAACCCTTATTTATTTTCTTGCAAAACAAGTAACAGGGTATATGCACTTACCTGCAATCCTAATGACCCAGTGTGAAATGCAGAGTTTTGTAATCTTCTAAGACCACCCATGCAAAAATATTCCAGAACACCACAGTGCTATAAACTTGCGCTTGGGAGTTTACAAAGAAATCTGAATTCATCTGGGCATTCGGCTTCTAGAGCACACACCATGTGTCATCGCTTGCTGGTAAACAGAATACAAATTGCCTGCTCTGCACTTCTGCATTCACACTGCAGCTCCTCATCTAGGCGTCTTTTACATCTTACAAGTCTGCTCCGTCACTGACAGTGCTCAGCAACAGCTCCGTTTTCCAGAATTCTGGAATTCAAGAGTCTTGCTCAGCTACACAGACGCCTCATTTCTTTCCCCTCAGGAAACGTTGCTATTGTAAAATCAGGATTCCCAAGGGAAGGGCCTGCTTTGAGCCCTAAAGGTTAGCTGCTATAATAAACATACCACCACCAGCACAGTGTGGCTTTTTTTTTCTTTCATTTTTCAATTTTCTTTTTTTTTTCTTTTTAAAGGACTGTGCTCAGTTCCCTATTGGGCTGATGAAGTGGGAGGCTCTTGCAGGTTGGTGCTGCTGCAATTTCTGCAGCTTTCGGGGCACCTTTAATCCCCTCCAAGCCGCGCTGCAGCTGGCTGTCAACGCTCCCGCTGGCACTGCGGAGGCCACAACGGGCCGCGCACCCGGGGCTGGCCTGCGGGCTCAGCAGGTTGCAGCTTTTAAGTGAAAACTCAGCAGATCTGTGACAGATAACCCATTCGCCATGGGTTATCTGTCTGATGATCACTGTGCAATATTGTGGAGAGGATTAAAACTCCCAGGAGATCTCCCATAGCGAGGAACCTTGCACAGCTCCACGGCTCTTGCACCCGTGGGTGCTGCGCCCCGGTGCTTGGCTTGACGGAGGTGTCCCAGCCATTAGACAAAGCAGGGGGTCACCAAAGGCACAACATGACAGCACGACACTTATTACAGATAGCTTAAGATAGGACAATTATCAAGTGCTGGTACCATAAATAACTATAAATAAGCAGCAACAAAACCCGTGCAAGCGCTTCCTGACGCACAGGGATCCGAAGCCTGTTTCTAATGAAACAGCCGCGGTGTCCTAGCCTGGCGTTTCATTCCCCATGCCCCAGCACCGCCCCTGTGAAAGCAGAGGCAATTACCATTCGATAGGCACCCAGAGAGCAGCCTCCCCTCCGCAGAAACTGCACCCAGGCACTCGCGCTGCAGTCACACACGGCCGCTTAATGGCATACATAAACAATTAAGCTTTTTCCTTCTGCACATTAATTCCCAAGCAATTCATTCCCCTCACAAGTTAACACATCTATTGAACAAAAAAAAATAAATAAAACAACAACTGCATTTCATTTTAATCCAGGCTGTTTGGAGGTTTGATTTGTTCCCAGGGACCGCAAGCCCAAGCAGCACAAGGCTGCCGAGCGCCCGCAGCCTCGGCGGGGGACGGCGTGTCCAAGGGCTCCTGCGAACCCAAGGCCACCCACGATAACAGGATACACAGGCGCCGCAGGCTGCCCCCAAACCTTGTTATCCTAAAAGGACAGCCCGCTAATTCTCTCTGAGACGCTGCAGCATGAGAAACACTGCGAATAAAAACACAGGGGAGGAAGGAAGATGGAGCTCAGCGTTCATCTTAAATTCTACCCTTGCTTCCCTCCTAGGAAAACAAACACAAGGTTGACAAAAGGCTCAGATACTGTTTCAGAGGAGCGTGAATCCTGCTTGTCTAAGAAAGCACAAAGGGAGACTTCCACAAACAAACAAGAACCAGGGCTGTCCTCCGAGCTGCAGCTTTTCCCCAAACAGCTCCTGTCTTAAGAAAGGCGCCCACAGGAACGTGACAGCCCTGCATGACACAGCCGAGGTCCTGCAGCCTGCGCCGGCCTCGCTGGGATTGGATTAGTTGAAGGGCCTCTGCATTCAGAGTCACACCAGTCCAAGGCAGAGGGTGCCTGGTGCAGGAGGTGCTTTGACAAAGGGCAAAGTTGCCTTGTGCTCAAGTCTGGGACCACAGAGAACCTGCAGACAGTGCCCGCGCCCAGTACGGCTCCCTTCCAGCCGCGCTCCGCACGCCCGCTCCCAGCGCCGGGGAGCTCACAGACCTCTCCACTGATGCATCAAGTGCCACCGCGCCGGGCATCAAGGAGCCAACGTGACCCCAGCTTGGCCAGTAGAGCCCAGCTGCTCTTTGCAGATTGCCAGCGGAGCATAGCGGACGAAACCTGGCTCCTCGGCTCCTGGCAGGGACAGTGCCGAGGGCTGACGCGTAGGAGCTTGAAACGCTGCTGGAGCTTTGCTGACCAGCTGCTGGGGTACTAAGCAGATTTCACTGAGGTTTAAGATGCTGCTAAAACTTCTCTTTCTCTGCCTACAGCTACTCCAAGAACAAGAATTTCAGCCAAGATTTAGCCCTTGTTTCAAGGTAGACTTCTCCTTTGCTCCATAACGCATCATTCAAAGGCCCAAGGTAAAGCAGTGCCAGAGGGAAAGGGCTGGTAGTGGCTGCAGAGTCCCAGGGTGAAGCTTGAGCATCACAGCCAAGGGGCACTGCCCTCCACAGAGCCTGCCGCCCGGGAGATGAAGAGCTGTTTGGCACGGAGGGAGTCCTGCCCTGCCTCAGGCTTCCCGTGGGAATTGCTCCTTCTCTGCCATCCCCAGGGCTCGGGGAACCCTTACAGTTACCTGGCCAACATTAACAGGCCGCTCTGCAAAAGTTATCATCATTCCCAGGAATTTTCAAACGTCATCTCGAGTACGAGACACCGAGGTGCCGACGTGGCGGACATCAGAGGTGTTGCCGACTCCAGCACTCTTGGTTATTCTCAGTATATTCTCTCCCCCCAGGCAGCTGCAGGAAGGCAGGGGAGGATGTTTCTGGGGACGGGAAGGCTCCGTGGCAGCCGCGGAGCTGCCGCCTCCTGGCAAGCCGGCAATGCCCATGCCGAACCCGGCTGCCCGCAGAGCGCCGGGAACAGCAGCGTGAGGCGGGACCTGCCACGGGGGTTGGCACAGGGAGACCAAAGCCCCCAAAGGGGAACCTGCAAACACATCCACCCACGGCACGGGCACCCACGAGGCACTCGGCGCACGGGCTTGTGGCCAGGGGAGCAGAGGGCACAAGGGGGATAGCTTGGGTTTCTTTAACTTTCTTTAAGGAAAGGCCAGGAGACATCCAGCAGATACGGGAGGAGGCAGCGCCAGCACCCAGGCACGCCAGGACCGGGGTTTCTGCAGGCTGGAGCTGGGAATGCTCCAACTCTTTCCACTGCTTTTTGAGCAAAGCAGTGAATTTCACCTCTCCAGCTGTTAAGATGCTCTACACATTACCCTTAGTTTTGTACAAACTCACAAGCATGATTTCACTCTGGACATTCTCAACATATCCATGTTGAAGTCTTCTCCCCCATACACCGTTGGCGTGTAATAATAATGCAAGCCTGGATTTTTATGCTTTCTGCCTTCCTTACATATTTCTTATCTCAGGCTCTTCCTGTAGATAAAGCATTTTAATGCCATGACCAGAGACCAATGCCCACATGCACAGGATTTACTACACCTACTTCACTTATTTCTGCCCAAGGATAAGCTTTGGCTGGATAGTAAAACTTTGAGTTACTTTTGACAATAAATATTTTCCTAAAGGAGCAAACAGTAAGGAACCAAAGCAAGGGCAGGGCATTTCTCAGAATCTTCTGAGTTTTTGGCTCAATGCAATAAAGCTGCCAGTGACTGTGCCTGACTCCCTCTACTTGATGACTGCTGAGGAATCTGGGGGGGCTGCAAAAGGCCCAAGGAGAATCTTGAATTAAACGGATCAAAAGCAACTGAGCTCCCTTGGGCAGCTGATTTTGCTCCCACGTGAAGAGACACAAAAGCAACAAGTGTTCCTACTCCTACTCCAGACACGGAGAGGCCAGGGCTGCTGCCCCGTGAGGCTACTGCCAGTGAGGAAGGGAGCCAAAACGGGAGGGAGACGCAGGAGCAGCAGCAGCTTTGCTGGAGCGTGCTCTCCGCCAAGGAGAGCTGGTTCCTTATCTCCTGCAGCTGCCCCACAGCTCCTCGTGAGCAGCCAGCTCCACGCCGAGCTGCTGTGCTGCTCGCTTCCCGAACCACGAAGCTCCTGCTGGCTCCAGCAGTCCCCATCCTCCACGGGCACGTTCTCCCACGTGTCAGAAAACACGCGTGGCCCAGAGACACCCTGCTGTTTCTCAGAGGCTTTTGGGAGAGGACTGTTCCTCCAGGTCTCCCTACCAGCCCTTCCTTCTTTGCTGCGCACTAGGGAGCTGCAGAACGCAGCCCAGTCTGTGTGTGTCAAGTAAAGGCACTAGACAACAATATCTGTATATATCAAGAGCCATCTCCACCACCAGCTGCTCTCTACAACAGCAATTCATTGTAAGACACCATTCTCACATGAACTGAACGGGACAGGGACCCTTGTTTCTCCCAAAACCAGCACTTTGTGACATCTTAGTAGTTAGAGCACTGAAATCTATTCCAAAAGCCAACATGTTATTAAAAAATTCACATCTGGCTACAGCACTTTTTGCATGTATTCCATGCTGCATTCGCTGCAACATCAGATCTCATTTTCATGAATGCTGTCTTACAATGGCTTAAGTATTTAAACAGGCAACCATCCTGATGTCTCATTAATACCGTTATATCATTGTCTATTGGTACAAATCACTTTTTAGGGCATATTTGCACAGATAAGAAATGTCTTACTAAAAATCAGTTCCACCAGCAACCCAGCACTCGCAATTGAACTAATTTTTGACCAAGCAGTGAGTATCTGTGCTCTAGAATGATCTGCTAAAGTTAGAATTATTCTTTTAAGTATTATTCTATGTCCCTGTGTCAAAGGCACACAAATCTGAATTATGTGAAACGGAGTGGGAGGAACTTGATGTTGATTCAGGTAGAGAAGTCAGCAAACAAGCCCCAAACAGGAGGCGCAAGGGAAGGAGGCCGGTTGTCGGTCTCCGTGTGACACCCACAGAGCTGGTGTCTGAACTTACGTGAAGCAAAAGCAAATGAAGAGCAGGAGCCAACCCTGGGTAGCTCATGCGAGGCTTGCAGGTCTCATTCACTGCATACAGCTGCTGGCTTGAACACGGGAGATTTTTAAGGGTATTCATCAGCAAAAGTTACTAGTTCACACGTGCCTGAGGTGATGACATGTATTTTATAAAAATACATAAATATCAGGTCTGTATCACGGCTGGGGACATGAAGGTTAAAGGGGAAGAGAGGACAATTTTGTTTCAGGAGGAGGGAGACACTTCATCTTCTATTTTGCTCTATGCTTGCAAGATACCTGGATATTAGAAATCTAAAGTATATAACAGGAACACTTTCAAGACCACAACTACAGAGACACTCCCCAGCCCGAGCAGGTTCCCGGGAGAGGATTCCCAGTTACCGAGGTAGAGGCAGGGGGGACATTCGGGTCAGTCGGTGCCGGCTCCGCTCAGAACCGGGAGCCCAGGGCAGCTTCTGCGGCGTCTGGCCGGGCTCCTGCGTGCACAGGCTGCCCGGCACGGCGGGTGCATCCGTATCCACACACCCAGTGGCTGCTTCTGCCGGGACGGGCCGGCTGCTGCCCCATGCCCACAGCCTGGCCCAGCACCATCGCCCCGGGGCGGCTCTCGCGTGGCAGTTTCACCCGTGTTTTCTGCACGCCCGTGCTATTTAACACGGCGCTGCTCGGCTCTGTGTCACTCAGTGACTCCTTCCAAGGCCTCCACGAGCGGGCTCGGCTGGCGCAGCCGGGGATGCCACCTGTCCTGCACGGGACACGGGAGCGTGGCACGTGGCGCCACGCGCTCCCGAGGGGCTGCTCCTCACAGCGCTGGCCCCAAAGAAGAGAACTGGGCCACGCGCCAGCATCTTAATGAAGGAAGTGACATCCATTTAGCAGGAGCAGAAAGCAAACAGCGCGGCCGGTTGGGGCAGGGCGCAGGGGCGAGCGGCTGGAGCGAGGCCAGGCCGCTCCAGCGGGGACAGCAACACACAACCGCCCCGGGATGCAACGCGCTCTCCTGCCGAATTACTGCTGCTTCCAAGAGAAATAAAAATACCACAGGAATTCCCCTCGTTATAGCGTACTGTCATGCAAACAGAGGCCCTTTGGAACAAGCCAACTGCATGTTAAGTCCTAAGGGGGACTGAATAAGAGAGAAAAAAAAAAAAAAAGAGAATATCAGCTCAAATGGGAAAAAACAAACAAACAAACAAAGCACCACAAGGAATACTCTAAGATCCTTTTCGAGCTTCCTGGGTGTTTACCAGCATGCTAAGTCACAGGTCAGCTGCTGGCTGCCTGATGAAGCTGAAGGCCAGTTTGTCAGGAGATGGAGCAGCGGATTCTCACTGAAGGCACCGGGCTCAGCAAATCCCCCCGGTGCACGAGGCACCCAAGCTGCAAGCACCGCTTGGAAACTGGAGGTCTTCGATTTTCCTTTAAAATTGAGAAAACGCTTTGAAAGCTCTGTGGTTATGCAAACTCTGCCTCGACTCCCTTGCACCTCCATTGCAGCCTCAATGTTCACTCGTCTTCTTCCACTTACTCAGCACTGGGGAGCAACTTGCTTGTACTCATCTCCACATGAGCAGCTTGCAGAGGCTGTTTTGTTTTACAAGGTACTGGGTACCCAGGGTGCATCTATTTCAGTATAAACTGTTTATTTTGACCCAAAATTGCACTTTATCTATTGAGAAATATTTAGATAAAAAGTTCTTCTTGCTATTTATTATAATCACATCTCTAGACATCTGCCAAAAGGGAAATTCTACCAAAATCTTCTTTCTTTTGCAACACAGCGATGATCTTTCAGCAAGTTAACAAACAACACAAAAACCTCAGTGATTAATGAAATCACGTGACCAGTTTTAGACCGTTATTTACTTTACTCTGTCTATTTTAATTGCTTCGTCCCATATCTCTCCCTTCCTCTCTCTCCTGCTATGGTGAAAAACAAAAACTTTGGAGCTCTCTTACCCCCTTGTATTTCGGATCACCAAGACAGAATTGAGCCAGCTGTAATTTAAAGCATAAACTAAGTTAATAAGAAGAAAGCTCTGGAGAAGCAGGATACCAAAGTACTTAATTTTGCTGCCATTCCCACCTTCCTGGCACGCTTGTGACTCCTCTTCATCCTCCCTGCACAAACCAACAGTCAAAATGGAAGCTTTCTGTCAAAAGTTTAGCAAAAACCAGCCCACATCTCCTAGATTACTGCATACCAGCTCAACCTCTGCTTTTCATTATGGGGAAAAGGCCGATGCTGGCTTGCGTGCTGCAATATTTTCCCTGCTCATTCACATCATTGCAGTCATATTTGGATTTAGTGCCAGCCAGCTGATTTTTTCAAGCAGTGGGGAGCTGCTAAAATTAAGATTGCAGTATATAGCCATGAACCACTAAAAGAAAACCTGAAAATTTGAGTAACTGCATCGCTTCCTCCATCCAGCTCCCTTCAAGGGAGATCCTCACTCCACCCTCTCCAGATTTCTCAAATCCCACCTAACCCACTCGGCTGTGGCCCTAACTGGGTGAGGAGAGTTGAATCTGTGCCCACCTGGAAGCCACAAACGGTCTCCAAAGCCACAGTTTGATCATCTTGGGAGTCCTCCTCCTCACACCACAAATATCCTGCTCCCTTCTGCAAATACTACATTACTCATAATAGAAACTCTAAGTTTCTCCTGCTCTGCAGGGCACTGCTGCGAACTTCCGTATTCAGCTATAAACAAGCAAAAGGAGCTTCACAGCTTTGAATCATCCCAGCTTTCAAAAAGTGAAATGCTCATCCCTGCTGGATGACTTGATTGGGATTCCTATCCTAAACTGGGGAATGCAATAAGCTGCAGAAGGCAGGCAGAGGAACAGGGTAGCTTCACTGGAGATAAGCATTTCAGTTTGTATTTTCATCATATCACCACAGTTCCCACTTCGGATAGAAAGAGATGGAGCTATTTCTGTTGAAATCCTTGGCCGAAAGGCCTGTGCTGACAGCTGTGCATCTTGTGCCATTACGACAGCAGGTTTCTCTCCAACTGAATAAATCACATATTCATCAACAGTTAATCCTTGGAATGAAGCATAAATGTATGTAGGCAGCTGAACTGAGAAAGAGAAGCACCACTCAAGCTATATCCACTCTAGCTTATAAAAATGTCATTTTCAATCTATGGAACACAGCAAGAAAAATGCATAGAAACTTACTCCACCTGATAGACCAAGCACACGTGAAAGGATTCAGAGAGACGAGGTACTCTCTCTGAAGAAGTTGTGCCCAAAATATGGACAGTTGCAAGCAGAAGAGCAAGACTAACAGCATTATTCACCCAGGAGCTGAGCTTCTGCTGGAGGTTGCACTGTATCAGCATTAAGAATTACTTTAAATCCCTTTGAAATGTGTGTAGACTCGTAGGCAAACTCTGACCCGCTCATCTGTAACCTAAAAAAAAAAGAGACTATTTCATTTGGCTAGGCTAAGCATGCATAATTTAGGTACAGTATAACATGTACAAACAGTGCAAACTCATTCCTTAGCCATGTTTAGTCCAAAATAACCTGAATTCAAATCCAAACTAGATGCTGAAACAGAAGGACAACTGCAAACTCTCTACATTAGCAGGCACGTACTCACTCTCATTCCATCCAAAACAGTCTGAAAAATTCTGTTCTCAGGCTGCAGAAATGCTCCCAAGTCAGTCAGCAGTGAAAGAAATGTGGGTGCAGGATATGGGGCACTGAGCGGCAAACCTGGGTACTAATTTTATCCCTGAGACAGCAGAGAATATTGCAATTGAAAAGTCAGTTCACTTATGGCTTAGTCATCTCATCTGCAGACAAGCAAAAACACCCCACCCTCATTTGTGGTGAGCTATTACAGGTGAAAGTTTGAGAAAGACTTTGAAGGTGTTTCCTTTCTTAGAGCATTTCCATAAATTCTAGATAGCACTTTAGGGCTAAAAAATATCAGTTTAGCACAGAGGCAGCTGAAGTTCAAGCTTGCTTACCTGCAGTTCTGCAAGCAGGCTGGGGAACCTGGGGAAGGTTCAAGCTTTATCACGCACAACTCGTCATGAATTGCTTCCGAACATTCCTAGGATGGATGTGGTGAAAAAGTCCAGCTCCCAAACTGTCTGCAGGAAAACGTACTTATTTCTAGAGCTGAAAGAGTCTCAGTTATCAACTTTACCCTTTTACTGTTGTTTCTGCTCCGTCCTCTTCCTCCAGTTTCAGTCTCTACAGGAAATTAAGGGCCGGTAACCCACAAATGCTACAGCTTGAAAACTTGAGTTTCAAACTGGAAAGTCAAAAAATATTAACAATAACCATACAAACTAATGACAGTAACCATACAGTCCAATATTTTTCAACCAAGTTGAAAAGTAAACTGAAGAAAACTCTCCAGTAACTCTGCCATACAGAGGATTTCCAACATAATTAAGGGAAACCTCTCTCATAGAAGGAAACATTTCTGCCTTCTGCAACTAAAATAAATAAAAAATAAAAATAATTTGAAAGCAAAAAGCCAGGACTGCCAAATGTGAAATAAAGAGTTGGGTCTGACCTGCTTAAACCCTGCCCAAAAGGCTGAGAGGATCCTAGGTAAAAGAAGCTGCAGATGGTGTCTAAGCTCGTGGATTCCCTACCTATGCCACGGGGAGGAAATGTCCCATACATGGCCCAAGGCAACACGCAGACTGGCTTCACGGCTCCACATGCAGCTTTTGGCAAGCCCAAGCATTCAAACATCATGAGTCAGCGTTCCAGAAATCATTGGGTTTCATAAACCAATAAATCTGGTTGTTTTGCTTTTTTTCTTAATTTGCTTTGGGTTTTTTCCTTCTTTTTTCCTTCCTTATTCCTTTGCAGTACACAGGCACCACTGAATTTTATTTTTGCTTCTTCAGCTTAAGCTTTCCCCTCTCCCCCATTCTAGGTTTGCTTGCTTTGTGAAACGACAGCAAAGCTTCTCATACAGGATTGGTGTTGGGGCGTTAAGAAAAATATACCAACTATCATAGAAGTTGGGAAGAGATATTGTGCTGTCTTCTACTTTCACACAGCCCTTGACATGGGAAAACTCTTATTTTTTTAAATTAGGCCTCAAAATATTTATTTCTTGTACTCAGATCCAAACGAATAAGCAAACTATTATTAAGATATATATTATTAAGGAATAAGTTATTAATATGATACATGCATCTAGTTAGACTGGGGAGGCTTCCACTCTTTAATAGGTGACATAATATTATGGTAACACACAGAATAAAATACTGCTCAAGTTGGTTTGGTTTCACCTAATGGATCATTTCATCATTGGCAAATTTGTCACTGACAGCAAAAAAGGCATTCTTAGTACTTGAGAATGAATTACATCTTAAGAAGGTGCCATGCTATCAAATAATTAGGATTTTGTCAATGTTGTAAAATTCTGCCTTTCTTTAAGGGGTCAGAACACTTGCTACATATTTTTATGCTATTTCCTGCAGAACTGGGCACTAAAGTTGATCAGTCAAACAGAGTAGGTAATAAAAATGTACATCCTTTTCTTCAAATTTGGTTTTATTATGGGAACTTTGAGAAAATATGGATTTGCATTATGAGATCCATTCACATTTGCATCCCTTATCCAAGCAGGGCCATAGGAGCCTCAGCTTTTTTTTTAAAATAAGAGTCGCATCCCTAAGTAAAAGACAACTTTGGATTTCCGTAACTGCATCCTACCAAGTTACTTTGTTTTTTTACCAGAACACAGCTTAAAAAAACTCCTGGCGAATAGACAGGGCTCATTCCAAGCGCTATCAGCTTACTCGACTCGGACAAAGCGAAGCCTTTCATGAATTAGGCTTCGCTTCAGCCTACACTCCGGCGCATGAAAAGGTTTCATTATGTGCAGTGGAAGAACACGTTTGAAAACATGATCCAAATAATGGCAGTTAGCAGAAGAAAAGTGGAACTGAAATTAAAAGGGTGAAACTATTAAATATGTTATTTCTGAAATAGACATGTTCTAAAGTCTTTAAATAGCCTTGCACGCACTAAAGAGTTCAGAGATGGTGTAGGTACCATCTAGGACTATCAGATAAAGCTGCCTGCAGGTCTAAAACGTCTCAAAAGCAGATGCTGGCAACTAAAGAGAGATTTTGCTAGTACTTGTTTAACATGCATTAATTTGCTCTCTAGACGTAGCCCCTCACTAGTGCTTTGACGTCCAGCTCTGTGCACGTTGCATGCACACCCCAGTTCAGCCGTGGAGCTCCGCGGCAAGCTGAGCGCTCGGCGTCCATCCTGCCGGGAACACGGCCTCGCGCCGAGGGGCAGCCTCCTTATTGACTTGGCTCTTTGCATTGCAGCCTCGTGGAGTAAGCAAAGCAAGAGATATAAATAACACCCGAAAAGGAAAGCGAGGGGAGGTTTGTCAAGAGAAGGGTGAGGTCTTTGGTTTTGTTTTTTTCAACTGCCTGCATCAACTCCCTGTCCCTTCCTTCCTGCAGGGGAGCAGCCCCCGCAACACAGGCTCTTCGACCAGATGGGATCTCACTCGGCCCACCAGGGCCCTGGGCACAAAATAAAATAAAAATACGCAACAACAACCCAGGCTAGCAGCTGGCTACCCTTACAAGGAAGTCTGTGATGGCAAGCAATAACTGATAAGCCGTTCAATTTGAGCAACATGCGGTGGGGATTATGCAAGCTGCAGCCTCCAACGTGAGGAAACCTGCGCGCGGAAACTCCAGGCACATAAATCAGTCACCACATAAACAGCAGCTCCAACTTGGAGGTTTTTGATTATAGGGTCAAAAGGGACGTTGAAATCCGCGCTTTCTTTGGAAACTGAAAAATAAACTGTTTCCAAACTATTGGGTAATGCTTGTGCAACGGCCTCAAGACAGGCAGTAATTTAGCCAGCTGTGTGACCAGCCACAGAAGCTGCATTGGAGAAATATTCCTTCCTGGGAACAATTGAAACTTTCTCCGGGACGAAGTCCACACACAGAGCGCACTGTTTCCTAGCAAGCATCTAACAGTTTCATTATTGTTTAACCACCCCAAAACAGCTCCAGCCATCTATCAAGCTCGACATTTCATCCGTCTCCGCCGCCGGCCGCCAACACGAGGCACATATAGGAAGCACTTCAAGGATTCGATAAGACAAATTATTTTGTTAACCTGAATAGAGAAACCAGCTCTTTTTCTTTAACAATTCATTTACTCTTTTTTAAAACCCACTCGGGAAACCAAGGGCCTGTTTGTCCTCTAGATGATAAAATCCAAGTATGCATTAGAAAGAAATGCTGTTTGATGAATAAAGCTCCATTTTAAGAAAAGTCTAAACCGAATCGCATGCAGGAGGGATGGAACCCAGCGACAGGAGCTGTCCTGTCACGGGGCGATGCGGCCACCTCTGCTCCCCAGTCCCCAAGGGCTGCAGCTCCGCAAAGCTCCACGAGCATCAGCAGGGCCACGGAGGAGAGAGACACCTGCCTGATGCAACCGGGCCCATTATGTCCTCAAACACGTAGATCTGCTCATGAGAAATGGTTAATCCTTTTAATCCTTAATATTATTAATCCTTATTTAATCCTTAATAGCCGGGCGAATGAAAGGCGGACGTCGCTCGTGGGCCCGGCAGCGACTCCCTTTGCGCGGGGCGCCGACACCAGCAAGAAGCATCAGCACCGTTTGTTCCAGCCACGTTTCAGAGCAAGCAACACCAATACAACTTCACTTGCAGAGAAAGCGTGATTAAGTGCAGATTAAATTGTGCTACTTGTGACACTGCAGTGTGAAACTGCCCCAGCGTCACTTCTAATGACACATATGATGCCGAAAGGAGCAATCCTCCCGCAACAGCAGTTACGACATCCCAAGCTGCTCTCAAAAGAGATCGTTTTAAATTTGCCCCTTTAAAAAAAATCTCACTTAACCTCAGTCTGAAGGCAAAACAATCAAAAAAATCAAAACAGACTAAGCGGCATTAATATTTTAGTCTGCACTGAAATATAATGTCAAAATTCCTACTCAAAAATTATTAGGCATCGGAACCACAGGATGGGTCTACTACATAGAGAAATGTAATTGATATATTGGAATAAAGTGAAAACTTCAAGAGGGATTACTTTGAAGAATTCATGAAGAATAAACGGTGTCTTGGAAGGCAACAGTTCTTTCTAAAGACCTCAAAGTCCCTAAGATGAAAATAAATTTAGAGAGCCAAGAAGGTTTTCAGAAGCTGGAAGGATGGCCCATCTCTCTGTTCAGAATAGAACGAAAACCTAGGGAGATATCAATACAAAAAAAAAGTTATTGATCTAGAAGACTCATACCCTGCTTTTAAAGAGGGCAGCACTTTCAGAGCCTCACAGAGCTCCTTAAGGACTCGGTGAGCGCAGAGGGGAGGCCGCTCCGCACACGGGGCGCCTCGCGCTTCCACCGCAGCGCGCGGTGCAGCTCTCCCGCTCTCTGGTTTTCCCTGTCCGTGACAGGGGCCTGGGCCTCTCCACCCCTGCCAAGGGCTCCCCGACTGCCAGCTACGAGAAGCTTTAAGTACTCATTTCTGGCTTCTTACTATGATGCTCTGTGGGAAGCGGAGGAAAATAAGCACGACACGGGGAAGGACCGACGGGTACTTTCGGGAGACTAGTGACTGTGGTGTCTTTGGGGGCAGAGGATGCAAATGTTCATTGCAGCAAAACGTTGAATCCCTATCTTGAGCTTCACTCTTGAGCACTACAGTCTTGGTCCATAGGCACACGTCTCTCTTCACATCTAACCTCTCATCTTCAGATCAGGATTAGTCTAAGGCTTTGGGAAAGCCGCTGCGAGAACATTCTGGATGCATTAGAAAACACACTACTCCCGTAGGAGACAGAAAGGGAGCCTGAACCTGAACACACATAAGCCTTCCTCGGTGGTGTAACTGAGAGAGCAACTCGTGCTGCATGGGGACAGCATTTTACCAGAGCAGACACGAGGCCGGGAGTCGCCGAACGGGGCCAGGCAGCCTCTTTCTACCCCACACGCTGCCTGGATAAGGTCGGTAGCAGACAGGGACGTCACAGCGTGGGGCGAAAACCCATTCGCGCCCGTCCTCCAGGAAGCAGAAAGTTCAAAGCCTAAAGCACAGCTTTTAGCACCCCTCTGTACCATACATTTGGCTCAAATACAGCAATTGAAGAGCTTAGCAAGTTTAACATTCAACTCAGGAATTTGTTATGAACAACAAACCACAGCACGAAGTTGCAGAACTGAAGTCCACATAACACATTTATATACCCTGCACCCCCTTTTTAACATACCAAAAGGCTTGGAAGAATGAGAAGGCTAAGAAGAAATGAGAGAAAAACAAAGGCCTGGAGTAGGAAGGTGTTGGTCCCAAGCATGCCCAGCTGGCAGACATGGCTGCTTCCCACTCTGGCTGATAGGGCTCCATTCTGCTCCCATTTTATCCTGAGCCCTGAGCAGCAAGTACCTCCCAGGTGGGAAGATTGGCCCTTGCTGGAAGCCAGGCTGCTCTTGCTACTCTACAACCAGACACAGGATTTAAACAAGAGCATTAGAAGTATTTGCTCTCCACAAGAACTTCAGCAATTGAACATTTATCCACAAACACCAATGGCCAGACAATTGGCTTTAACTATAGTCTTATTGCTTGCAGCTGAGGGGACATGGAAACCCCAGCAACCCACTGCCCCAGGAGCCACCCCAGGTGAGGGAATCACCCATAATGGGCAGCAGGACAACAGCCCAAGGAAACTCTTTCGTTTCGTTAGACCCAACAGCTCTCACAAAAGCAACTATGTTTATAAAGACAAAGACTGCAAAGAAGGGATCCAGTTGTTTCTCCCCAACACATTAACACAAATTCTGTGTTTTCCTAAGTGTATTAGTTTTTTCTTGATATTATAATCGGGATGGAAGGAACAGAAAACGGCAGAGCTGCGTGGCGCTTCCCGCGGGAGACGCGCTCTGTGTCGGAGAGGAGGAAGTGACACACTCCACAAACAAAACATTCCTAAATGTCTCCACAAATTAAACATTACCCCGAGCATTTCTCAACCTCAGAGCCATAAAACTAAGCCATTCCTATCTAGGCTTTAATATTTTACTTATCTTTACAGGATCTAAGTTAGCTTGACCAGCTAAGGCAATGGAAAGCTGCAGGGTGCAGAGCCCATCCACTGCACGTCAGGGCGTTCAACACGTCCGTCCTCAGGGATTTCGCCCCGAGCACCCGCTCCGTGCAGGCTCAGGCTGGACCCTGCGCACGTTCTCGATGCCCAGAACTTACATTTATCAACCTGCAATCGAGTCCTGAACTGCTGGTAAGGAGCCGACCAGCCAATATGTCAACAGCTTCTCCGCAGGAAACACCTTGACCGGTTTACAAGAACAAACTGTTCTCGGGAACGTCGCGAGGGCTTCTCTTTTCTCAGCTCCAAAGTGACTCCTTTCACCTCCTGCAGCACCATTACGCCTTTCACTTTGTCTCACGTCTCCGATTTTGACGCAAAAGCCGGGGCAAAGTTACTCATTAAGAAAATAGCTTGGGCCCTTCCCACCATGGAAACGTCACCCCAGGTACGTTGCCATCGTACCAAAGAGGCAGCCCCTCGGGCGCGATAAAAGGCAGATAAAAGCCAGCAATGGAGGCAGAGCGCTGCGGCCAGGGCTGGCACCCGGAGCCCCCGCGTCCTCCCGACTCGCGGGGCGGAACAACCCCCCACGGATCCACAGGCCTCCAAGGAAGGGCTGGAGGGAGGGCAGCGCTTGCCAAGGGCTCTCCAGAGGACAGCAAAGCGGCTGCACCTGCGGCCCCAGGAGAAACCTCCCCAACACACAGACACCCAGAGCCCCATGGGGTCCCTCCCCACACACAGACACCCCGAGTCCCACAGGTTCCCCCCGCCAGAGACACCCCGAGCCCACAGGTCCCCCCCACACACAGACACCCTGAGCCCCACAGGTTACCCCCCCCACATACACACACCCTGAGCCCCACAGGTCCCACACACACACAGACACCCTGAGCCCCACAGGTCCACCCACAGCCCCCCCCAGAGTCCCTCAGCCACCTCAAACACCTGAGGCCCCTCCAGGCCTCAGGTGGAGCCTGCACCCCTCAACCCCCAGCGCTTGAGCCTCCCCATACCCCCACACCTGAACACAAACCCCAACCCCGCGCCCCTAACCGCCCGGCCGCCCCCCTCGACCACGGGCACCCCCAAACCGGGGCGCCCCCCACGCGGGCAGCCCCCCGCGCCGCTCTCACCCGTGCCCGCCGGGCCCCGCGGCGGCGGCGCAGGGCGCGGGGGGCG